TTTGAGTCACTCAAAAGCACCAATTCGACTATAAAAGTCTCAACTTGAGTCTATGAAAGTCTCAAATTGAAAGAAACTTTCAACTTGAGAAATTTCCACTTGAGAAATTGAAAGAAAGTTTCAACTTGAGCCTCTGAAAGTCTCAAATTAAGATTTTCAGGCTTCAAATTAAGACGTTTGAAAATCTTATTTCAAGTCCTTTGGAATCTTGAAATAAGGTATTATTTTTTTGGACGTAGTTCAACCTCCAGGATTTTTCTTGTACTGTACACAAAAAATTGATGAACATTTTCCTCCCGAGATGAGTCATGCGACTCACATCACGAGTGACTAATGACTGAATCCCCATGGCGAATTGAAACTCCCACTGCGGTTCGAGTTTAATTGTTCTCCAACTTCCATCGGGTTATAGTTACCCCGAGTTGTCTATTAATTGCCTATCGACCCGAGCGTGGCCAATGTCTTGGATGAAAAGTGAGAGTTTCAATCTTGCAGGACGAGGGAACTCCGGTCAGACGGTTCATGCAGATATCTGCAGTTAGATACCGTTTTTTTGGGCTTTCTCATCATCTCATGGACCCCGAAGGGATTCCATCCGAGGCAGCTATCAGCCGAATTGGAAATTCATTCGATATAGTCTGAGGACATTGATTGGAGTTTCCTCAAGATGTTCTACTTTAGCGGATATTATTGACCATTCAGAATTGAGGATTAGCGGTCAGGCAGTTTCGAAATATAGATTTTTTTCCTTTTGTTGAGATACTCGAGTGGGGTATGGATGTTTCAATTCGAGGATGATTATTCCGTATCAGCCCGGGTTGTAGCAAGCGCTCTCAAGTGTAATATAAGGGTCAGACACTGAGTGTGAGGAAATAAGGGTCAAAAAGGGGAGGTTAAGAAATGAGGGTCGGAATATTAGAGTCAAAAACTGAGGGCCTGAATGTAAAAATGAAGGAATGAGGGTCAGAATGTTAGGCTTAAAAAAAAGAGGGTCAGAACATTAGGATCCAAAAATTAGGGTCAGAATATAAAAGTAAAAAAAGTGGATGTCAGGCAATGAGGGTCATATAACGGCTAAAAACGGTGATCAAGCATAATCTGTGACTTATATTTAGACCCTCATTGCCTAACACCCACTTTTTTTACTTTTATATTCTGACCCTAATGTTTTGACCCTAAAATTCTCACCCTCGTTTTTAACCTCCACTTTTTGACCCTTATATTCTGACACTTAGTGCCTGACCCTTATATTACACTTAAGAGGGCTTGCTATAATCCGGCCTGATACAAAAGAATCATCTTGAAATTGAAATACCCATCCCCCAATCAGTGTTGTCGCGAGACGAGACGAGACGGGAAGAAGCAGTTTCTCGTCTCGTCTAGTCTTGTCTCGTTTTGTCTCCTCTCGTATCAAAATACGAGAGCAATTTCTTCTCTCGCCTCGTCTCGTCTCTAGTTTCTCTCATTCTCGACCGGCTTTTCTCGTCTCGTATCGTTTCTGTCATTGTCTCGAATGTCTCTTCTCCTGTCGTCTTGTCATGTCTCTCGTCTCATTTGTCTCGTCCCGTCTCGTTTCTCTCATTCTCGACCGGATTTTCTCGTCTCGTCTCGTTTCTGTCATGGTCTCGAATGTCTCTTCTCGTCTCGTCTCGTTATGTCTCTCGTCTCATTTGTTTCGTCCCATCTCGTTTCTCTCATTCTCGACCGGATTTTCTCGTCTCGTCTCGTTTCTGTCATTGTCTCGAATGTCTCTTCTCGTCTCGTCTCGTCATGTCTCTCGTCTCATTTGTCTCGTCATGTCTCCCGTCTCATTTGTCTCGTCCAGTCTCGTTCATCGCAATCTACTCCATTCCGAAGTCATGATATCACTCACCCATAAAGTGAGTAGCTCTTCGTCACTAGGTCATCCGCAAAAGAAATTTTCATACAGCTTCCATTTACATCCCAATATTTCAATACTTCAGAAGTTCCTTGATCACTCGTTCCATATCGAGTGAACAATCCTCAGCACATCCAATCATGCAAATTTATGTCACCATCCAGAGTACATAATTTTGTATTCCCCCCAAATATATTCAGATTGAATTCCTCCGAAAAAGAAATATCCTCCTTTGAGCTGAATTTTTTCCTTTGAAGAAAAACTGAATGAATTCGACGGAGATAAATCCCCCATCACCTCACCCTCTTATTTGATTTTCCTGAAGTTGTGCAATTTTCCTCTTTGTTATTATATTTCCGTGCCTGGGACTCGAGTGTAGGAGTAATGCTGAGAAAGAAAGTAAGAAGAGGACAGGGGAAAAATCTCGGGATTATTATCAATTTTCGAGGAGCGGAAGTACACGATTTTGAGAGGTGACCCAGTTTCGATATGAATCGGAAGCAATTTTCATTGAGTGTATAATAAAGATTGAAGAATGGCCTTTATCAGATACTGAACGAGTTTCCGGAGTGCTGTTTGATAGACTCATTTTGTTAGGTTGCTTCTTTTGTCTCGTCACCTTTTCTGAGTCTTCTTAATGTGAAAACAGGCGAGACTTCGGTTGTTTCGCGCTTGATAACAACGCTGTGAGTGCATTCCCGAGGCATTCATTTGATACCGTGATATCAGGGAGCTTTATGTGGAGTATTTTAGAGCAAATGAATTTTCGGTTCTAGAAAAGGGTATCATGAGTCGTCTGTTCCTCATTTCTGTCCCGAAATTTAATAAAAATTGATATATGATGATCAATTTTTATTCTACGTTAGAGAAATTTTATCCTGATAAAAATCAAAATTACCGTGCCGGTAGAGTAAAAATTACTGCTACAGTAAACCAAAATTTCAGATTTTTATCTACAAATTCCACGGTCTTTATGTTGAATTTTCTAAAAATTAATCACCAAACCCAAGTTCAGCGATCGGTCGACAATCATTACATTTGTAATATTTTGTAATTTTATTAGAATTTGAAACTTTCCGTAACTGTGGTTTTATTATCTTATTCGAAATTTGAAAATATTAAAATAATTCATGTTTTAAATTTTCTACTGACCACTGAGTAAATAATTTTACATTTCATAAAAGGATTTTTCAGTGATACATGTAATGGTCAAACTTCTGACCCGATTACTGGTTAATAGATTATTTCGGAATTTGAATATTCGATTGATTAATTTGGTAATTGAAAATTGTTGAGTGATATCGGCTAACTGAAGCTGAATTCAACTTATTTTGAAATTGATGATTGTTCTGATCTCTCATACGTACACAAACATGAACCAAAAACACAATTTCTTCACGTTTCATAAAATTTTAGACCATTTGTGATTAAAATTCAAACCAACCAAAAAACTTTTCTCGTACTTTGAGTTCACATTCGGTTAGGAAAAAATCAAAGAATATCAAGCTTCATCATCCACAGAATAATAGGATTTAATTCATCCAATGCACATCGCAGGATGAATAGCTGGCTTGTAGCTGGTAATTAAGCTCACTGGATGCACTGCAGACAGTAACAAGATGGGAATTTACGTTTTACATGTACCTCCCATGCTCTCAACTTTTAGCATGTCGGGCTCATGGCTGATAGGGAAAATATCAGGCTGAGCATCAACTATTGTATCAACTCCGGGAAAATACGAAAATTCGTCGCTTATTATCCCGAAATTGCCAACTTTCCCGTTGAGATCGCTTTCTAAATTAATGTTTTGTTCGTGAATGCTTGTTCTCCCTCCGCAACAAGATACTTTCCACGCGTCAAACCACCCCTCGATCCCTCAATTTCGACGATAATGGATTCCTGAATATTCATTCCTACATTGCCTTTTTTATCGCTGAATTTCCATATCCACGACACCTTTTTGTTACCATTTCCACCTTTTACATCTTCCACGATCCCAGCGGACTCATCGATATTCTGATGTAGACAAATCCGATAGCAGTGATACAACTCCCACCGGAAACACATCGCTTCCAATCACATTCTTATCAGATTTGATATTTATTGAATAAATGCTCATCGGGAATATGAACCATCAGCACGTGAGTAACACGTGTAACTCAATTGGATATCACTGATGTTTTTTTATTCTGTAAAGTTGAAATCTGAGATAGTGAGGGTTCTGTCTTTGAAGGTTCGATGAGATAACATTGGCATTTGGCTCTTCAAAGGGTCACACAAGGTGACCCTTCCATATGTTCATTTGCATATGTTTGAAAACCAGTTTGTAGCAGAGATCTCAAACTACATGTGAATGTTTTTTTTGGGCTCAAATGAAAGAGCGGGTCGAGATATGGCGTGCGGATATCTCTAAACATGACAAATGTCTCTAAAAATGATGTCAAACACATCATGATGGTGTGCGTTATTTTCAATTGAAAAGCAGAGTTGTGACAACATTGGCCAGTGGGGTCTAGCAACATTGGCCCCTGGTGCAAAACCATCTTTAGAGGCATCAGCACGCCATTTCTCGAGCCGCTCAGAGTTGAAGATCAGAGTTTGTCAGAGATGTCAGACAAGATATGAATGTTTTTTTGGGCTCAAATGAAAGAGCGGGTCGAGAAATGGCATGCTAGGGCCTCTAAACATGACGAATGTCTCTAAAGATGATGTCTGTTGTCAGTTGAAAAGCAGAGTTGTGACAACATTGTCCAGTGGAGTGTAGGAGTCTCCCCTGGTTAAAATATCATCTTTAGAGACATTTCCACACCATTTTTCGACCCGCTCTTTCATTTGGTCCCAAAAAATCATTTATATCTTGTCTGACCAGAGTTCAAAACCTCATGGATTGCATGGAGCGTACCGGAGGGATTCACGCAGGAGTGTGAATAGCCACTGCCAAAAAAATTTCTCAGTCAATGTTTTCACCACTCTAAGGATCAATACTCTAAGGATCACTACTTTTTCACTACTCTAAGGATCAAACACAAGACACGATTGTCAGGATATATCAGAAATGCAAAACCGCCAACACGGGAATAATCCCTGTAATTCAATCAAAATATCACCTTTATTTTTTTACATTGAGGGCTGAGAATCTGGGATATCGTTTTTTCTCTTTTAAAGGCTCGACGGTACACTTCGCCGATGATATCGCGCTCTCTGGTAATTCGATGTCAACTCCAACGATGTTCCGAATTTCCTGAGACGCAAAACTCCTCGTAATCGGGTCGCAGGGATTCAGCATCGAGATCTTCTTCCGAGTGACTCTTTTCACCGATTTTCTCAACGAAGAAACGCTTTTCCGGGCCTCTGCGTCTTGTAAAGATGTCCCCGTACCCTCATCCAAAGCGATTACTGTTTCGGTCAGTTCCGTATTTTTCCCAACCACATTGAATTCTCCCGATGTGGAACGTTCGAATTTTCTCAATGTTCTCATCTCACTCCTCACTCCCCTCTTGGCTTCTTTCAGCGCATCACTTAAGACTGATGGGGGTGCATCCTTCACTGCCAGAATCTTGCGCTTTTCATCCGTTGTGTAACGGGGGAGATCCTCAAGCTGACTTGGTAATACGTTTTTTGGTAGACCAGCAAGCATCTCCACGATTGCGGCATTCATCTTGAGGTTTTCGGTGTGGATAGTAGTTTCGGAGTACTCAGCCCCGGGTCTGGCCGTTGATCCTTAAAAAATACGAGGCTTTCAGTCAAATGAGAAATAAAAAGTACGCTTTTTTGAAAGAATGGAGTATGTTGGGGAAGCTTATGAGTTTACGTAAGGCAGACGTCGCGAGCTATCACATTTTAATTATTCTGACAGTCCCAAGAGTGTATCAAGAGAGAAACACGATTGGAGTTATTATTTTAGTTAATAAGGAGAGTTATACACACTAATGAACAGTGATTTATTGAAGAATAAGAGAGAAAAATCCCATTCACCTTAGCTACATCAACGGGCGATCATTTACCTTAAATAGACGGGGAAAATGTAAAATGAAAATTCACTGGGCTGTTGAAAATTTTTATTGACCGACAGCTGCCCTGAAATTTCAACGAATTTCATGATTGACATTTTATAATAACAATTATGGTTTACATGGGAATGAAAGTTTCGTTTTAAATTCACGATTTTCGAGATAATTTTTATCCAACTTCTCTACGTGTGCAGTATTAAAAAAAATTGATTGAATTTTCCGGGAAAAAACCTTGAATTCTGTCTAAAGGGAAAAAATCAGCTGTCAAAACGTTCATAGATGCGTACTGGAAGTCAGAATAGAATAAAACAGAATAAACTCTCCTCCGGGTGATGAAGAGCCCCCCACCCCTCCCCCAAAAGGACCTACAAAATAATAATCAATTCAGCCTCGACCTGTGCCCAGCGAATTCCCCGATAAATTCAGTTATTCCGCTCGGAAAAATGTCAACTGCAGTAATACATTAATCTCTATTTCGCAAGCCCTTTGTATGGAGATTAATTTCTCCACAAGAAATATAATTCAATGACAACCCAATCATAATTCCCTCCCCCCGCGGAAAACCCCTTCAGCATTGTTTAATCCTGGATTCGCTCGTTGTAGGTACAAACGTATCATTCGAGATCTGATCGAGATAATTGAGCGCCTCATGGCGATGCATGAACCAATGGGATCCAACTGGCTGATGCCTTTGATATTGCACGGCAAAGTTAACTGTATAATATATACGTAACGAGGTAATCTTGATTACGGCCGGGGTAATTAGTTTGGTCTTTGTTGTAGGCGCGAAATTACTGGTCAACTTTAACTTTGTAGTTAGGCACCCGGCCAAATAGCTCTGCAAAAACACTACTCTGTCAACACATTATGTATTGAATTTCCGGGTGGGGTAGCGATTAAACGAGATAACGCAGAACGAATTTCTTCATTGGAGGGAATTCTATCGAAATTCATTGCTGATATGATAAATTCATTTGATTTTTGCGAGGGGCGTGGAAATTTCAGGTGAGGATTAGCGAAAATTCAACTGTTTTTAATATAAAAGTCAAAATCGATTGCTGCTAGGAGAAAATGACGATTGTTCTTAGTTAACAAGTTTATTATTTGATCCTTAAATGAGCCTTAATGAGGTCATTTGAGGGTCAACTATAAACCATGAGGGTCAGCGAAAAAACAAAATGTTGCGAATAAGTTGTTGAGGACTTTGCGGTCAAGTTTCCTTTTAATGCTCAAAAGTTGACGTTAACAATTTCTTTTCATCTGCAACCTGTTGATATCAGTTATGAAGGGCTCTGACAGGTGTCTGTTTACTGTCGAGTCACTTACTTCAGTGATTTTCTTTAGATTGATGTATTTCCGTTGCAACCTCTAAATAACTAACGGGTTGAAAAATAGAATACATTACTGTCCTGATCACGAACACTTTGTGTATTGGAAACGTTGACAATTAGTGAAAGAATGTGTTTTCTCTCAACTCTCTCCTTTCTTCATTTCTAACTAAAACTGCTGTAGATGACCGTTAACGGCTGCGAAGTTCTGGGTTTTTAGTTAACAGTTGCCCCCTATCAACTGAACCTCACATAAAGATCAAAGGAGTCTCAATACCCCACATTAACTGGAATGACCGCAGTCACCCGATGCACTCAATCCCCCAAATTAAAGCAGAAGAGATCAAACCCACCCCGAGCCACTAAAATTGTAAGACCATTCACCCAGATTGGGCAGCCGTGTAATGTAATTCTAGTCAGGAAAACCATTCGATTAACCAAGGCATCCGAACCTGTTCTATCCAAGCAGCAGATCATGGGATCACATATCTCATCTTCACAGGGTTTAGTCCCAAATCGTAATGGTTTTTGTGGAGGAAGGTCTCTCTCATCCGCATTCTCCCCCATAGTTTGCATTACCCCATCATCTGTCGCTCCGTCATCGATTACGTCAGGTGGTACCTCGTCCTCATCCATTCCAGGGTCTTTAATACCAACATCTGCCATAACAGAAGGCACCTCCACTTTTACGATCGAGTAGTTCTTGCTTTTCTTTCTCTTCCCTATTTGTGAGCGCCTTCCAGTGCTGCTGCGCTCCTTCGATTCCTCCCGTTTTCTTCGCTTTACAGTTGTACCATCCCTCGATGCTGTCAATGTTGAAATCGTTCCCTCTGACCCTTCACCAAGTGCCTCTGAAGCCTCAGCGTATTTTTCCATTTCCTGAATAACATCGGGAACATTCAGAATAAATACGAGCGGACAAATAGAGGGTGAAAATGGTAAATAAAGGATGATCAGGAAGTACTCCCACTTGACCCTTCGTGTCCACAGCTCTCTATTAATTTTTTCCTCCCATTGAATCAATTGGATTATCCTCATTTTTCTTTGCCTTCGCGAGGAAAATTAACAAGAAAGGTGAGGTCGGACGAACCAGCTGATCAATTAGAACCGCCTGATCGGCCCCAACCCATCCCCCGCTGATCCCCATCGGGGGTAATGGATGGTGATGGGGTTTAAGGATGAGCTTCGAGAGAAGAGGCACTCTGGTCTGATGATGCAAACGAAAATACTCGCGAAACGCTGGCATAACACGATAGGAGCTACCGACGTTGATGACCAGGAGCATGAAGCATCAGAGAAAAGACAATAGCTACGCGAATAAGCGTCCTACGCGTTTACCTTACTTTTGATGTTTTCTGGTCGAGAGGTTGACTTTTGTAAACACAATTTGAGAGAAGAAACCATTTACGAAAATATTTTACAGAATAACTCAGTAAGTTCGCTAGATAATTCTATTGGATTTCTATTCGTTTTTATTTAAACTGATTCTAAATGCTAAATTTGAAATACACGACAGGTTCATAAATTTTCTTATAGATTTTCTTGGAAAATCTATCCCGAAATTTCTTGAAACGTCAACCATCAAACAAAATATTCGTGTGTTTACGAACTCGCACACACAGCTACGCTATCGGGCGGAATAACTTGAGAGGGGATAATCCTCACGAAATGATATTGTATCAATCCTCGAATAACTTGAGGGGGATAATCCGCACGAAATAAAATTGAATCAATTCAGTCACTCGAGAATCAGGAAATTGTTCACACGGTGCCTCCGATGTTTATAGAGAGCTTCAGAGGAGCCAAATTATTGGCTGACGATTCGTTTATTTATCAATAAATTTCACAGGAGAAGATAGCATCGGATGGCGATGCATGAATTATTATGGAGATAACCGCTGCTTACAATTGGTAGTTGAAAAAAAATTGAATATTTGCATGGTGTTAACTAATGATGTGTCAGTTGAATGGTTAAATAAAATTCCATCACGTGGTTTGCTAAAAGCAAAAAATAGAAAATGGAAACGGAAATTGAAAATTTTTGGCAAATTCTTAAAAATGTAGTAATTTAAAGAAAACAGTTGATGTCGTAGTTATAATTGATCAGTTGGAATGTCGTCTAGTTGAAAAGACGTGTCAACAGCAGTGTTGAAAGGAAAAAGTTCTATAGAAATTTCTCGGCTTAAATTTTCGGAATTTTTTTACTGTCTCAATAAAAAGAGAAGAATAGAGTGGAAAAAACTCGTAAAATCAATTTTGAGGGATTTCTACTGGAAGATGCGACTTTACTATTTTTTTAACGCCTTATTTTACCCTCCTCACCCTTATAAGCAATGTTTCCAATTTCAGGAATAATGTTCTCAATTTAACAACTATTATTTCTAAGATTTTTCATTGTGAACCTGTTGTACAGCCTCGAAGTATTGTTGCTCGACATCAGCCAGCTCAGGTTGTTCCAATAGTTCCCAGGCACTTTTCGCTTTTTTCTGTTTCACTTTCTTACGCTCCTTTTCATCGGCTCGACTACTTTTATCATCTGGTTTCTTTTCTTTGTCTGGTTTGCGGCCGGGACCGCCCTTATTACTCTTGGCTTTCACTGGATAGGGGAAAAAATAGTTTGATTGGGGGAATATTAGGTGACCCGTTCTGCCTCGATGTTTATTGAGATGCAGAAGACTTTAGGGGCGGAACACGACGTCATTTCGTTCAGAAGGAATTTCCGCTTTCTGGAAAATCTTTCTGAATTTTGCGGATGAATTTTAGATTTTGATGAAGAAAGAATAATCCTGGATATGAATTTACCGGCGGAGGGGGATGGAAGTGGTTCAGCCTCGACGTACTCAACCCTCTGCGCAAGTCTAATTTCCTTCAAACGGCTGTCGATGGACTTCTCATATCTGCTGCATCTCTCGAAATACTAGAGAGAATGATTACTGTATTGTTAGGAAATCACTTTTTAAATTTCAAGTGAAGAATCTTACACGTTTTAACACTAGCTCATTTATATGCAACTTCCAAGTGTTTTTATTGGAAAATCGGTGAATCTTTTGGTATTGAAATTTTCCGATCATTCACGGAAAAAAATATGAGTTGAGTTATTTAATACTCGAATGAGGGATGGCTGTTTCAATTCGAGGATGATTATTTCGTATCAGCCCGGGTTGTACCGAGCGCTCTCAAGTGTAATATAAGGGTCAGACACTGAGTGTGAGAATATAAGGGTCAAAAAGTGGAGGTTAAAAAATGAGGGTCGGAATAGTAGAGTCAGAAACTGAGGGCCTGAATGTAAAGGTGAAGGAATGAGGGTCAGAATGTTAGGGTTAAAAAAAGAGGGTCAGGCAATGAGGGTCATATAAGGGCTAAAAACGGTGATCAAACATAATATGACTTATATTTAGACCCTCATTGCCTGACACCCACTTTTCTTACTTTTATATTCTGACCCTAATGTTTTCACCCTAATATTCTGACCCTCATTTTTTAACCTCCACTTGTTGACCCTTATATTCTGACACTTAGTGTCTGACCCTTATATTATACTTGAGGGCTTGCTACAGCCCGGCCTGATGCAAAAGAATCATCTTCGAAATGAAATACCCATTTCCCAATTGAGTATAAAATCTACTTGATTCAAGTATATTTTTTTCTGAGTTCAAAATATGTAATTCATTAAAAAGCGACTACTATTCTGAATTCGCAGTCACACATTTTAATTGAAGGCAATCTCCAATTTTTGAAATGACTGCAAAAAATTCCCTCTCTCATTGAAACATCAATGATTGCTAAACATAAAACACTCAGTTTGGTCGAATGTCCTGAACGAATAAGACATTCCATCGACGATTTGATCTCAAATGGAATTCAAGCTCACAGCATAAACTTTGAAAATCTTCAAACAGATCGAGATAACGATTATGTTCGGTATTGTTCATCCTTACCGACGTCAAGAACACTTTATCATTTCTAACATTGGTAGTGAGTGCCTCTGACGACTCAACGAGATACACACTGCCCTTGTCACTGCCAACCGCCACCAATTTTCCATTCTCATGTGGTGCCAACGCCTTTAAACTGTCCCCACAAAGACGAATTGTCGTGACTGGATTGTTCAGGCCGACCAGAATATCAAACACCTCCATCACTCCTTCATCATTTATCACGTAGAACACCGAGCACCGAGACGTGCTCCAGCATCCACCAGTGAGTGAAGCCTTGTGGTGTCTTTTCCAACCAACGAATAGGTGATAAGACGACACTGACTGATTGATTCAATATATTCTTACTCAACCGAATTATCCTCACTTTGTTGATACTAGATTACCCTCCCTCGTGTCCTCGGCCCACACTCTAGCCGTCCAATCGCCAATAGTCAAAAAATTCTTCGTGCTGAATGGATTTCTGTCGATCGCCAAGACTGGTCCATAGTGACAATTGAATCTGACAGCCAATTTCTCAGCCGGATTTTTACCCTTTCTCGTACCACTAACAACCACTCCATTCTCCATTCCAGCCATGAATTTCGTACCCATTGTGGCCTCAAACTGCAGCGCCGAAACCCCAATTGCTCTTACGACATCACCACGGAGTGGATTCTCAAGATCCATAATTAAAGAGTCTGTGGGCTGTCGAAGTTTGCGAATATCCCACCAGTGGATGACACCACCAGTTGACGCAGAGAAGAATTCGGTATTTGTTTTTGAATTTATCCAGAGAGCGCAGTTTGTTGGATTCCTTATGCAGTAAAAAAATTATGTGAAAGCTGATTGACGTTTGGACCAAATCCAGAAAATCTGGTATTCGTTTTGAAAGAGAATCGTCAGTGGATTTCTGATGATTCAATGTGAAAGACGTATTTATGTATCGTTACAGTTTGTGAGTGAAATATGGTTTTTATTTCGGGAATTGTCAAGTGAACATGCTTCAAATGAAATTTAGCATCACCTCCTGTGGAATTTTTAGCAGGATAGCTAGCGTTCTGATGATTGTCAAATCTCATTAGAAATATTTAGGTTGTAATTGAAGAGTCTGGGGGCTGTTGAAATGCTATGAGTTGATGCGGAGAAGAATTTGGGATTATTGTTTTGCATGGAATGGAAAATTCAAGTAAAAGCGGATTAACATTTAGACAAACTACAGCCAATCTATTATTCACTCAGGCGTTTGAGATATTTTGAAAGTAAATTATGATTGAATTTCTGAGGATTAAGGGTGAATGATTAATGACAGACTAGTTGTGTGAAAGAAGTAATGACCAGCATTCAGTGATCTTATTTAGTAAAGATGAGAGAAACGTGAAGTTGTTTAAAATTAAACAAAAAGAATTGATGGAAGATTAAAAATTATTCATTGATGCTTCATTCTCTCAATTCTCTTCAAGTTATTATCAATATTTATAAAACATCTATGAGTATATGGAGTTTAATAAATTCGATTTCTTCATTTTCACAACGAATGGATAAACGCGCGTGCACAGTTCTAGTCAAATCGTAAACCGAGATGATCTTAAGATTTCTTGTTCAGGCAGATGTATTTACGTATAATTACGGTTTGTATGTGAAATCCGGTAATTGTTTGAGGAATTATCAACCAGTACATCAAGTGACCATGTCCCTAATGACATCTAGCATCACATCAAATGGAATTTCCACCAAAATATCTAGCTTTCTGATTGTCAAATCTGGTTACGAATAGCTACATCATCATCATTAACACGATTTAATCTTCTCACCGTAGTTTCATATCCAAACTTACCTATGACTGTACTGAGGATGAGAAATTTGAATGGGCGTGTTTCCACTTCGTATGTCCCAGTTACAAACTTGTCCCGACATCAGTCCACTGATCAGCATAGAGGGATCACGGGGATTGAATTCAATCGTTACTGAAGGGTGAACTGCTTTCAATGCCATGAATGGCTTGTTTGGATTCTCTGCAACATCACCAACCACATCACACATAAGAGTATAAACATTATTCATCTTGTTGCCTCGACAACTTGTGGAACCTCTTTCATTCGGCTTGCAAAAAGTTTTAAATGGATTTGTTTTTTCCTTTCTAACCGATATTCCAAATGTACGAGTAGGGATTTAGTTTTGGCGAAACTCGTTGAAACTCTCTACAACCGTATGCCACTGCCAATCTTTTTCCACTGTCGGGTGACCAGGCGAGGTGGGTTACCGGACGAACGAGAACTTGGGGATCCTCGTAAACGTTAACAGTTCTGGAACATTGAGATCAATTTGTCTTTGAAACAAAATTATAGTATTTGGGCCATGATGGGCAATGCGACTTGCCCATGCTAGCGAATTCGCTGGAAAATCCTGTGAAATTTCCACTGAACTTTCTATTTATTATTGGCTGATTCTATTGAATAATTACGCTAATTATCTTTTCAAGTTTTTTTGGTAGATGTTTTGCTTAGAGTTCTCACCATGGAATATTTTAGAAAATAAGATCACTATGTGTTTAATTACGAATTGGCAATTATCTAGTGCAGTTTATTGTTGTCTCCATACCCGAGTCGAGGATTTGGTTCTGATTGGACGTACACAGGTCTTTCAAGATCTCTCCAGACCTAGATGGACCTGGTAAGTCCGAATCAGTTCTGCGACGTACTTTTCCAGAGACCATTCGAATCCTCAGTTCTTTTCGGTCCTGAGAAGCCCTCCTCGATGCTACCGAGAACGCGTGATTTTNGTATCCGGAGGGTTGAAATTTGTAGCCAACGAGGAGACAGGGTTGCAGAATATATTTTAGCCACCCTCATCTCCCCGTTTGCAGGCGGTGTTTAAATAAAAAATAGTGAACGTTGATTCTGTATTTATTGACTCCCTGATGCCAATGAAACCCTCGGATGTGACAGAAATGGGGAAAAAAAAATTTTCAGTTACACGCGGGTCAAGGGTGAAAGTCGATTTTCGCCAAAATTGAATTTTTTCGCCAAGTGAAAGTTGATTCTGTATTTTCTAACAATTCTGATGCCAATGAAACCCCCGAAGGCGCGACAAAAGTCGAAATAAAATTTTTTTTTTCACCCCGAGCCAAAGAGTCAGATTTTCTGTTTTTCCAGAGGGAAAGTCGACTTTCGCCAAAATCGAATTTTTTAGCTGGGTGAGCGTTGATTCCAACTATTTGAGCGACGGGCTATTCAGAACTCTCAAACGTATGTGAAAAAAGTGAAAACTGAAAAAGTTTTTTTTTTCAAATTTTCAAAGGGTCAGATTTTCGGTTTTTCCCGGGGAAGGTCGACTTTCGCCAAAATCGAATTTTTTAGCCGGGTGAACAGATCCGATCAATTAGCCCCTCATGTATAGATATTCCAAATTTTTATTTTTTTCCTCATTGAAGTAGTTTTGAAGAAAATTGCGAGCTAATAAAAAACATTTGCTAGTTAGTACTTTTTTTAAAATAAATTTTTGAAAAATCACCTCTGAAAAAAAAGGCGTTATCCCCTCTATTTCATTATTTCCAAAAAATTTTATCACCAATCGATAGAAAATTGTTTGAAGATTTTTGCGAGTCAAGAAAAAATCGTCAATGCAATCCTATTATTGTGTAAATTAACAATTCCAATTTCAACTGAAAACCAGAGTTGATGACCAGAGTTTGTAACAGAGATGTCAGATAAGATATGAATGTTTTTTTTGGCTCAAATGAAAGAGCGGCTCGAAAAATGGCGTGCAGAAGTCTTTAAAGATGACAAATGTCTCTAAAGATGATGTCTGTTTTCAATTGAAAAGCACAATTGTGACAACATTGTCCAGTGGGGTCTAGGAGTCTCCCCTGGTTCAAAACCATCTTTAGAGGCCCTAGCACGCCATTTCTCGATCCGCTCTTTCATTTGAGCCCAAAAAAACATTCATATCTTGTCTGACATCGCTGCTACAAACTCGGGTCTACAACTCGGGCCTTCAATTGAAAGCCCGAGTTGAAGACCCGAGTTTGTAGCAAAGATGTCAGACAAGATATGAATGTTTTTTTGGGCTCAAATGAAAGAGCGGGTCGAGAAATGGCGTGCTAGGGCCTCTAAAGATGGTTTTGAACCAGGGGAGACTCCTAGACCCCAATGTTCTATACATACTCCTAGACCCCATTGTCCTCCTAGACAATGATGTCACAACTCTGCTTTTCAATTGAAAACAGATATCATCTTTAGAGACATTTGTCATGTTTAGAGGCTCTAGCACGTCATTTCTCGACCCGCTCTTTCATTTGAGCCCAAAAAAACATTAATATCTTGTCTGACATCGCTGTTACAAACTCGGGCCTTCAACTCGGGCCTTCAATTAAAAGCCCGAGTTGAAGACCCGAGTTTGTAGCAGAGATGTCAGACAAGATATGAATGTTTTTTTGGGCTCAAATGAAAGAGCGGTTCGAGATTATCCAATTATCAGTAATCATTTACATTGTTCTCAAAATTAGTGGCGATGTCACTGCTAATGAATGATAACTGAAAATTGTAGATGAATTCCTCAAAATTAGTGACATATCCCTGAAAATGAAAACTTTCTGTTCTTCAGATTTACCTCACTCCCAGCGGCAGTACCAACTCGGTTGGCACCATATCATCAAAATACTGTTGATAGATATTAATAGTACTGTTCTGCAGTACATTTTTTTCAGCAATTGTCATCAAATTGCGCATCCTCGGCGGCCAATTGTCGCTCTTCTCGACTCGTCTCCGAAATCTCGCAACTGCCTCCTCATCCCGCATGTTGATCTCCTTGGGCCAACCGCCTTCCGTGTGATGCATACCACTGTCTTTGATGGGAGTACTCATTGTCTGAACCTAGACATGATGCGAATGGATGAAAATGAATAAATAATATGCTAAATCATCCGCGGAATATTATCCGACTGGAAACAAGAACTCTGATTTCAATTCAAAGATTTTAATGCCTTAAAATGCAGATTCTCCTCCATGAAATTGCACTTGATATCCCCTGGGGACCCCACTCATCTCAGTGCTGCCCCTAGGGTATTTTTTTATATTCATAATTCACGGAGTAGCCAGAGAAATGTTAAAACGCGTTGAAATATCGGTGAGAGAACACTGTTAAAAAATTTCCACTGGAGTTTCCGGTATAGTCGTGAAAATTTCTAACAAATAATGTGACCATTGAAATATCAGAGAAGTTTGTCATTGAAAATTCATAATTTTATGGAATAATCTATAGGAATTATCATTTGAGTTTAAGTATTCTGCGAAAATTAGAGAACAAATCAGGACAATTCAGAGAAACCTCTCCTTGAATTCCAGATTTCTCGAAATGTTCACAGAATTCCTTTAAAAACGCCTGGAATTTCAAGGATTTTAAAGGAATTCCCTGAATATTCTAGAGAATTTGGCAGTAAATATTTATTTTCGCTAAAAAAAAATCGTATTTTACAAGAATTTTTAGAAAAACTTGGAATTCCAGCGACTTTGTCCTCTTAAAGGGTGACAGAAGGCCAATGTTTCTTGGACATTTTCAAACAATTTTCCTGCTCAAAGTTATTAATATTTTTTAAACCTAAAGCCCATTGATCTTCATAATCGTCTTTGAGTTTAATGTCCTTCGATTTGTAAAAATATCGATAACTTTTGACAGAAAATTCGTTCAAAAATTTGGAAAATTAATGCCAAATTATTCCTTAAGGATATCCAAGTATCCTTTATAATTTCGTGCAGACCACACCATTAATTCAACCATTTCCAATTGTCAAATTTGTTAATTAAATTGGGTGATAAAAATTCAAACACAAAATATATGAATATTCAGGGTCATTAAAATTACATTTTACACAGAATTATTATTCTTTAAACATTCGTTATTTATAAATAAATAATTGAAATTGTCTAAACTTCTCAAAACCCTGGAATGAATACATTTTTTCCGATTCTGAACGACTGATTTTTATGATGGAAAATTGATTGTTTATAAATCATCAACAGAAAAATCTCATAATATTCAAAAATTGCAATTGTCAAATTATTTCATCAATCTTCCTTCAAAACTAAACTTTCTAATTTTTTCCCAACTTTTGAGAACGTTTTCTAACGGTTCAACATCGACCCTCAAATTCAGACCTGCAACATTAAAATAATAAAATCATTGTAAAATATCTGGAAACTTGGGATCAAATGAGGCTCAAATGAAAGCTCTGATGTTCGACTACAAAAGTAAAAAAGCGTTTCACTCGAGAAAAAATAGCCGAAGTACTTCGATACCTTCAAATCGAATTCAAGATTCGGAAAATTCATCCCAATTTTTTCAACAGTGACCATTTCCCTCGGAAATTCGAATTTTCAAAAAGTCTCTTCTAACCTCATGAACAGCGAATTGTCTGGTATTCTGAGTAGCGGTATGTAAAGGATGTTTGTGTGTGTATCTGTCCATCATCTCCGGATCTGATACCATATTCTCCTCCACCGTAATCCCGGAGTCGTCGAAAATACATTGCTTTCCAAACAGCGATCGACTCTTGACGTAGACGTATTCAATCTCCATTTTTGTGATCTACTGCGTATTGAATCCCGTATCTAGTATTGAATTCCCCTCCACAGAACGGAAATCTACAAAAAATTTTGCATAATCAGAGTTTCCCACCAACTGCAGTAAAACAGATCGTCTTTAATCGTCCATAGCTCGGTAACGGCAGAGTGGAATTCCCCAATTTTTTTTTCCAATTCGAAGACATTTTTCTATTCTTCCAAACGCGACATGACTCATTCAAATCGCATCGTTTGGTCGGGAGATATTGATGACTGAAAACTCGACTGTTACCGAAGCCCAAAAACCACTCCATCAAAATAGAGTTACTTTGATTAATCCGTTCTGCCCCCTAATTACATTACCTCGTTTGTCCGCGTTTTATACGTTTCCACTCTATCCCCCCGACTTTGCTTTATTTTCACATCACGTAGAGAAGTTCCATAATCTCACCCAAACGGTGGCAATTCAACGTCATTAAAATTAACTGCGTGATACAATTTTATCACTGAAAACCAGTAAAATTAAAGTTACCCATGAGCCGCTTAGGTGCCATTGAATTTTTCAAGAGATACAGTACATTACAGAAACGCTTTATTTGCCGGGTTTATTGTAGCAGAGGAAATTTGCAGGGAAATTGCTGCATCGATTTGCCAGATTAAAAGATTAACCCTTCTTTCCGTTGGAAAAACAGTTGATAACACATGGCTTGAAGTGCCCACCGAATCCTCCGAGTCAGAATTTTCATCGTCACCATTATCTGAATAAGTTATTTTGATGCGTCCCCCGCGTGAGAATGGAACCCCAAGTGTGCAGATCACGAACTAAATCTTGAAATGAGATGAAAAAACGCTGTCCCCTGGAGGTGCTTCAAAATTCCCGGTACAAAGTAAATTAGCCGTTCAGTAGCACTCGACGTGTTCACTTGGAATCGATTAAATCAGAATAGCCCAACATTCCCGTGGGGACACGCACGAGAAAATTTCGTGGAAAATCGTTGCGAATTCGATTAAAAATTGTAGGGCATATTTCTAAGGGAGGTTTATTGAAAATTCTGCACTCTTATTTGTTGTTGTTTTATGGAGAATGTGCGATAGAGAGTACTGTGGAGAAAAAGTCTGTAAAACGCCGTCTTTGTAGGCAACGTTTTCTGTAGGAATTCCTCCACATGAATTTCACGTGTTTTTTCCACCCTATTTTTTTAAGTTTGTGTCGATAAATTTCTGGGAAAAGTATCCCGCTGTAGAATAAGTTGTATAGAAAAATCAAATTCTATTGATTTTTTCTATAAAATATTTTCCATTGTAAATTGACAAAAATTAGATGATCTGCAGCATTCTTCGATCGAATTGGCGAAACACTAATGGCAAGGTCAACAGCTAATTCGATAGAAAATTCTATTGAATTTCTACTGAAGTTTTATTAAAAATTCTGTCGTTTCACTCGTTTCTTTTTATTAAGAATATCCAGTGGAAACTATTTTATAGAAAAAAACAGTAGAATTCCATCTTTCTGTTGAACTTTTTCTATATCAATTCCTCGACATGAATTTCTCAAATTTTTCCACTCTATTCTTCTCCTCTGTTCGTTAAAATCAAGCAAAAACGTTGGGAACATTCAGGCCGCGAAATTTCTATACAAAATATCTCAATAAAATAACTTCTCCCGAGAAATCGAATCCTATTAATCGCCAAGCTGCGGAATCGGGCCAAAACTAATGGAAAGTTCAGTGCAAATCCAATAGAATTTTCTAACGAATTCGCTAGGTTTTTCATACGCCTAGCTCTGAAGAAATATTGAAAAGAAACACTTTCCTATGCAGGTCCCGACCCACGCATTACGACAACTATGTGGACACTCGGTTTATTCATTCTCCCCTCTTTTTCACGCTTGCCCATCCTCACGGTTTCTCTCCCTGATGACGGTTAAAGCCGAGAAATGGCATACATTCATCGAAAAAAAAACGGCTGATGTGCTGCGAAATTACCACGGGCATTTCTGCAAACGTGAAAAGGAAGCTGTCGTCACTCTCTCCATTTAAACGCTCAGTTGGAAGACCCAATGGTGTTTTCATAAGGGGATTTTTCCCACCAGTTCCCACTATTGATCCACTCCATCCTGAGTTTACCTCCACGAACATTCCAAAGCACCTCTCATCAGATTTCTTCGAGAATAAAACATTGAAGCCCGACGACTTTAACGGAGATCACGCGATGTCATCCATAAAATCCATTATTTGGCGCACATCAAAGTGTTCATCCTTATCGAAAGGTGGTTATCCGGAAGTGAGGTCCTCATTTCAAAGTTGGTTAGAACTTTGTGCCTCTGAACACTGTAATACGCCTCGAGGACATCCGCTCCACAAAGATACATTCAACTCTACCCAGCCGTCACCATTGAGCAAACACACGGCTGGCAACGATCCACCAACGTCTTCTATCGGGGATGACATTAAACCACAGCCAGAAACTAATTTCTCACCTATCTCGACCAGCTCACTAGCTCCTTTCATCCATCAATTTCGTGAAGACACATCGACAGGATTGAAGAGAAATCGGTATAGTGATCTACCATACACGACGAAGATGAACGAGTGTTGTTCATTGAGGAAACTGTCTACACCAATTTTCAGACGATTTTTTTGCAGTACTCCAGTCGCTGGGGATGGAGATTCTAGGACGTCAGGGTGCATCGTTCAATTTGAGGAGAAACCTGTCAGAGATTGTTTCGTTCCTGCTGAGGGTAAAAAATCAGAGAAACACTTGCCGTTTTTGACAGCTGTTAACAGCTACAGATTAAGTGGGCCCAACAAATCTGTTGAAATGACTGATTTCTCCGATTCACGTCCGAATATTCAGACCTTCAAGCAACGGCTGAGCAAGTCCCCATGCATCTCCCACTCCGAATGGACGAAAAAATGTGTGCAACCATTTTCACCGAAAGTCCCTCCAAAATCGAAGCGAAAATTTAATGCACTGCAGCCAGCCCGAATCCTACCGATACCTCGCAAGTCCAGTGAATGGAAAACCCAGAAATATAATATTCGAGCGAGAATATCCAAGTGTCCCCCGTCGAAATCGAATAACACGTGTTCGCCAGGGATGGAAAGTACACTGGGTGAGCCAACTCGAATTCCAGTGGTGACCGATATTTCACTGAAGGTGGGACGATCGAAGGTTCAACTGGAGCGAATGCTGGAGCTGAAGGGGAATCTCTGCTGTCATCTTCGGAAATGCCGGAATCTCAAGAATTATGAAATGAAAATGGAGGAGAGTAGAGCAGTCGCCAGGGATAATAAAAAGAAATGATGGATTTTTTTTGCCAAGTTTTTGTGATCAATTGTTTAACACGGAGCATTCATACCTAATGGGTAGAAAAACTTTGGTTTCTGCAATTCTCTGTGAATATAGAATGGGAAATATCACATTTTTGGTTGAATGCTAGTTATGTGAGCTTCATTTCACTGTTACGAGCATCAGAAGGGTCAGAATATATAATAAAAACTTCTGTAATGTCAACGTTTCACACAGATTTCAATAAAAAGCGATTTTTTGGATGCGTTTACTTATATTCTTCAACTCCCTTCACAAGATCAAAGAAGTAATTCAATAAAACTCAGTCGACATGCGTGCGCTATTCTGAGATTAAACTAATCAACATCTTTCAAACAAATCTTCCACAACTGCTATATGTATAAATTGATATCTAATGGATAGGAAAATCATTTTTTTTGCAATTCCTTGTGAATATAGAATAGGAAATATGAAATTTCGAGTTGAATAATAGTGAGATGAGCTTCATTAAACTGTTATGAACATCACATTGGTCACAATATATAATAAAAACTTCTGTAAAGTCAATATTTCACACGAAAGTGAATAAAATGCGATAATTTTAATGTATTTACTATTATTCTCGTTTAATCTTCTTCATAAGAACAATGAAGTAATTCAATAAAACTCTATCTATACGCGTGCACTATTCTGAGATTAAACTAATCCACATCTCCTTTCAAACAGATCTTCGACGATTGCTACCATTACGAGCATCGATCCGTGGCGAAGAGGTCGACTGAACCGCACATCGAGGTGCATGATCGACTCATTAAAGATAAGAGGGTACGTCGAGCCGAGCAACAACGAATCAAGATCCGCCTTAAGAGGGATTTAATTAATAAACGTGGTCCTGCAAACATACAAACAGTACTCAACGACGACAGATGGCCGCAAATGTGGTATTTGGTGAGTCACTAAGAGCCGCAGAGAGAATATCATATGTCGGTTAAGAGCTTTTTGCTAATTAGATCCGTAATTTTAATAGCTTTGAATGGAGAATGTGAAAATGAGTTCATTTTCACTCGTGAATATCTCAATTTTTTAATCCACAAAGCCACTATTTTTAGACAATGAGTTTCTACTTTTAATCGAGGATTAAAAATTTTTGATTGAAGGTGATATTTTTAAACAAGAATATATTGAGTTAGATAAGCTGCGAGATTTTTCAATAAAATTGACTGAAAACCAGTAGAAATCCAAGAGAATTTTCTAGTGAATACGTTTTTCTATGAACTCTTTTCGTGCGTAAACACTTGATTTTCGTGATCAAGGGAATGGAAATTCTGGATTCAGGCAAGAAATATTTGGACAACACTATTTTGCATTGAAGAAACAAGAATTTTAATCCTCTTCATCACTCTTAGAAAAAAAATTTCATGGACACAAGAGAGTGACCTTGATTTTAATTTGGAGAGAAAGCAATAATGAAATTTCAGATTTCACTGCAAATTGAATGAATTTTCTATTTTTAGTAGAAGAAAATTTGAATTTTCACTGTTAAATTACGTTGAATTTTCAATTAATCGAAAACTCAAAATTTTTTATCTAGATGTCCATGACTTTCATCAATTTTTACGATATAATTTATCTAAATTCAAGAATATATTATTCATTATTCAACACTGCTAGAAGAAAATTGTAATTTCATGGACAGTTGACCAGTAATTTTCAAGAGAGTTACATTGAATTCCATTTAAATGGAAAAGGATAATGAAATTTCTGATTTCACTGAAAATTGAGTGAATATCCTCTTTTTTTAGCAGCAGAAAACGTGAATTTACAATTAATCGAAAATTCAAAAATATATTTATTTAGATTTCCATAACGATTATTCATTTTAACTAAATAATTGACCTTTAACTCCCATTTTTCACGGATTAACCCATTAAACTATCAATTTTCACGAAAGAAATTCCTCGAAATATCAATGGAACAACAATGTAATGAAAATTTCCCCGAAAAGTCCCGCAAATTTCGCCTAAAAATTTTTAACACCGCTGAATGATAGTTTAAAATAATAAAATAATGATATTTTCGATAAAGAATCGTGGTCATGGGCTTGACATGAACGTCCAAGGCGCATGGGCAGAAGGAATCACTGGTGATGGTGTGGTTGTGACAATCTTGGACGATGGCCTGGAAAAAGATCACCCGGATCTGTACCGAAATTACGTGAGCAGAATAGCACAAGCCTGAGCTTTAACGGGCTTCCTTTTTTCTATTATCATGAAATACGGCAAGCTTTTCTATTTTTTTTTCGCGTCGATTCAACAGGATCCAGAGGCGAGTTACGATGTGAATAGCCACGACAGTGACCCCATGCCACGGTATGACCTGATAGACAGCAATCGTCATGGCACCAGATGCGCGGGAGAAGTAGCAGCCACCGCAAACAATTCAATTTGTGCTGTTGGTGTCGCATATGGAGCTCTAGTTGGAGGTAAGCCGTGGTGGGAGGAGGCTTTGACTACAGATTTCGTGGAAACCACAATGACAGGAAATTGGGAAAGACGGAATAGAGGAGGAATTCGGGGAATGAAATTCTTCTGAGGAAAGAATGTACTAGTTTCCAGAATTGGAAGGTGTTTCTAATTTGGGGTTTGGGAGGGGGAATTTAAGAATACATTATTTATTATTCATTACTGTTGATGAATTAATGAAATGTTTTGATTGAAAATTCAATGAAATTCAAATGTTCGAGCACCAAAGAGACGAGAATTCCGCAATTTTCTTGAATTTTCAATTTTCAATGACGAAATTCCTTACAATTTCTGCCGAATAAATGTCTCGTTGTTTCTTAGAATGTTCAAAACTATCAGAAAATCGAAAATTAAAAAGGAATTTTTCTGAAGAAAGAATGTATTATTTTCAAGAATTGAAAAGAGGAGTTTTTGATTTGGTCATTCGGGAATTCAAGAATATATTATTTATTATTCATTACTGTTGATGAATTAATGAAATGTTTTGATTGAAAATTCAATGAAATTCAAATGTTCGAGCACCAAAGAGACGAGAATTCCGCAATTTTCTTGAATTTTCAATTTTCAATGACGAAATTCCTTACAATTTCTGCCGAATAAATGTCTCGTTGTTTCTTAGAATGTTCAAAACTATCAGAAAATCGAAAATTAAAAAGGAATTTTTCTGAAGAAAGAATGTATTATTTTCAAGAATTGAAAAGAGGAGTTTTTGATTTGGTCATTCGGGAATTCAAGAATATATTATTTATTATTCATTACTGTTGATGAATTAATGAAATGTTTTGATTGAAAATTCAATGAAATTCAAATGTTCGAGCACCAAAGAGACGAGAATTCCGCAATTTTCTTGAATTTTCAATTTTCAATGACGAAATTCCTTACAATTTCTGCCGAACAAATGTCTCGTTGTTTCTTAGAATGTTCAAAACTATCAGAAAATCGAAAATTAAAAAGGAATTTTTCTGAAGAAAGAATGTATTATTTTCAAGAATTGAAAAGAGGAGTTTTTGATTTGGTCATTCGGGAATTCAAGAATATATTATTTATTATTCATTACTGTTGACAATTACTGTTGACTAGCAATTTTCAGGAAAGTGCCATTGGATTCAATTTAAAGGGAAAAAATAAATGAACAGATTTCACTGGAAATTCAATGAATTTCAAAATTTTTGAGCCGTAATGAGACGATAATTCCCGAACTTACTTGCATTTTCAATGAAAACATGATAATTCAGTTGCAAATTAAATTTCACGTATTTCCAGTGAATTTTCCTGATTCCTAGGAATTTTTATGCAATAGTTGACCTGAAATTTACAATTGCCGTAGATTTCTCTACAAAATTTTCAATTTTCGATCGCGAAATTCCTTGAAATTTCCTCCAAACATTTTCAACAGTTTATATTTATTAAAGATTTCATTATCAATTGAATAATATTCGTAAACAATCAATCCATTTTCAACATTCCCATTTACTCAAATTTGATTTTCATGCTCCATTCCTGTAATCAATTTCAATTTTCTTCAAACTGCCTAGCTAATTTCCTTAAATTGATTCCCCTCACATAAATCATATTCCAATGCTTCTCAGAATGTTCACAAACGATCTTAAAATCGGAAAAATAGGACTTTACGCCTGACGTGACCGAAATCCCTCGAATTCACAGCGATCCAATCTCCTTAAGTAATCCATTGTACCGTCAATGTGCAGGGGTGAGAATGCTGGACGGAGACGTAACAGATGCCGTTGAGGCCAGATCCTTAAGTCACAACTCTCAGTACATAGATATATACAGTGCCTCTTGGGGTCCCGACGACGATGGTAAAACCGTTGATGGTCCCGGTGAACTCGCCACCCGGGCATTCACGGAAGGAATTAACAAGGTATTGTATTAAACTAATTCATCGTTAACGTTAAACCCTATTGTTTTCGTGACACTAGCCCTGCATTCACCCTAATCCACTCTGTAATATATAAAGTTGACCGGAGATGGACAATCCTAAAACGTTGATCATCATTAGAACGGTGAGGAACCTGTTCTAAGCAATCAACTCGGAGTCCAATTATTTTCCTACCGAATAGCTTTCATTTCCATACAAAAGCGAATGGGCGCTTTGCGCCCGTCATTAGATTATATTATTTTATTTTATTTATATTATTTTATTATTTTATTTCCATTTGCGTCTTCACAATTACATTAATTTAATTTCATTCTTTCTTATTCTCATTATGTATATTTTTTTCCGTTCATTCACAAACTACAACATTGAATGAAGAGGAATTATGTTAAATTTAAGTTATGTTATGTTAAAGATCAATCAAAAGTATTTTTTTATGATCAAAACAAAGGCACAAAACAAAAATTATTCCAAATATTATTTGGGTAACAGAAACATCTCTCCATGTGTTTCTGAAAAATTTTAAAAACGGAAATTTTTAGAAAGTTATCGATATTTATACAAATCAAATTAATCTCTTTTGCTGTGCTTTGGGTTAAAAAAATTTTGATAACTTTGAGCAGAAAATTTGTTTGAAAATTTCAAGGAAACGGTGGGCTTCTGTAATCCTTTAATGAGGAAGTTACTGAATGATAAGATGATGTCTTTTTTCGCAATGAGATAATATTCCTTTGAACTCAAGATGATTGAGCGTACCCGGTTATATATTTTTAATATCTGGAGGTTTCCCTCTGCAGAAATTGTCCATTCATTCAATCTGAAAGTCTCTAATTGATGATTCACTGAATCATTTTCTCATCTTCTGACCCGAAAAAACCGATTTCTTGTGGGAAGAAATTCTCCCTTTATCCTGAAATGTTCAAGTCCTGAACACTTCGCGGAAATCTGACATTGTCTGACACATCATCCGGAATTCTTCGCCCAAGAAATGTATCCTCAAGAGCTGAGACATTTGGCGCAAGAAATTACTTTCGCGATATTATGACGATATTACTCTCAGTATAGTGGCAAATAGTCCCGTCACCCGTGTCTCATTCTGTTTTCATCCACCGAGTTTCCCTAATTAAATTCCAAACATCTGCAATTGAAAAATGACTTCACCCACCTCTCGAAGCGGGCAAAAACGCCGTCATGGAGTTAATTTTCCACTTGCAGGAATTTCCCCAGGATCTCCCCCCAAGAACGTCCAATCCCCCAAGAAATGTTTTCCCCCAAGTCACGAAGACAGAGCTCACCAAGAATGAGCCAGACGTATTTGACAATACAAGTAGACACTGCCGTCATATAGCCACCCATTTTCTTACTCAAACAATAGAAAACCCAGGCAAACAGTATTGTGACTCGGCAAAACGTACAGTTTCTTGGTCGCCCTCTCAACAGAGAGCATTTATCTCGGTGTACGTACTCCACTGAATTGTATTGTTTATTGCAAGATAAGGGGCAACACGGAGCATAAGAGAAAACCGGCACACCATCTGTAATCGATAGTATCTTGGCCAGAGTCCCCTTGAAAGATTGAATGCCCGGAGGTCAGGCTATTGGATTTGGTCGCGCTAGGTCACGTGGGAGGAAATTTAATTTACGTTTTTTGAGAGGAGCTGGGAAAATGAAAGGGGATTTGTATTGTAACCGGGTATTTATTAGGTTCGTCTCAGCTGTATCTTTATGGTGGCGCATATTTCGTTGTTGTAAGGGAGAACCCTTTGTTGCGAGATCATAAACGCGGAGTTATGAAGCATGATGACCTTTCTTATTGAGCCTCTCTAGTGAGCCTTCTGCAATTTCATTCTCTCGCACCATTCTCCCAGTTAATTCATCGAGATATAACTTCGTAATTAACCTAGTCTTCGTGGATCATATGCTAATATCGGACGGTTCATTTTTCTATGGCGTTCGCCTTCCGGGAACCGGGGACAATGAAACTCGTCGAACTATCTCGCAACTCTGCTGGGCAGAGGCGTTCAAAGGTGAATATATTTCAGGGAGATAATAACGGCTTTCGCTGGAATTAGTCCGTCTCGGGGATTTTTTTGCGGTTTTTTGATTGCGAGAGGATGCATTGTGTTCGTCAAATCCGAAATTTCTAATTTTTCGAGTTAGAATTACTAGGTTTGGCCTCATGATCGTTGGAGAGAATCAAATTATTGAAGTTTATTATTGGATTTTTCTACTGGTGAAAGATGTTTTCATAATGGACACCAGATGGATGGTCATCAATATTAAATTTCAGTAATATTCAACGTGAATTGAGGTTTAAATGTTCTCATCAAAATATAAAAATAGTCTGATATCTGCAATTTAAATTTTCGACTCATGATGAATTAAGTATTTGATAATATGGGACTGTGAATTGTTCATTAAGTAAATAATTCTAATTTCTTAAAAGGGATTACCAATTGACCAAATAATCGGCAATCTTCCTACATAAATTATCGATTAATAAAATAGTTCAGAATTTGAATATTAAAATCGATGATTACTAAAATAATTAAAAATTCAAGAGTGATGTTAACGGACAGCTTCAGAATTTAACGGTAATTACGATTCATTAATGGGGTTATCCCCGCCGGATGGCAACATCGTAGATTAATAATATTCGTGCAATGTCCATGTTGTTTGCTTCATATTGAAATATCAAATTTATATTTTTTTATAATACAGTTTACAACAGCTTCTTTGCATAAGAATATTTACATAGTTGAAACATTCAAACCAAATTCGAAATAATTGTTAACAACTTTTAAAGGATATTCTTGTAATTCCACGTTTTGTTATTTGGAAAATTCAAACTCAAGATCGAGGTAATTGCATCTTCAGGATTCTGATGTGAATGTTCAGGATGTCAGTTGTTGACATCCTTCAAAGGGATGTCTTCAGAATTCCGCGTTTAGAGAAGACAATAATTTGCATTTTGCAAGATCACTTGTGTTTACTCTGGGGAAACAAGTCTGACGAATGAAACAGTTGATCACTTGTAACGGACGAATAGAATACGGGTATTCCAGTCAGCAATTTACTCAATCTATTTTTGAAAAGGAAAAAAAAACTATAAAGTGCAGCAACAATGCGATGCAATGCGTTCAGTGAATGTCAACGAGAGAATCAAATTATCGAAGTTTATCATTGGAGATGTTTCCACTTCCCTGGGCGGACGAAGGAAATAGCGTAGATCAATAATATTTGCGAAGTATTCATCTCATTTTCTTCACAGTGAAACATCACAGAAGTTTTTTATTTATTTATTGTTTTGGAATTGGAAACTGAAGAAGGAAAGTTGTTGGCAATAGGTTTCAAAACAGCTTCTTTTTATAAAAATATTGACAAAGGGATATCTTTAGATTTCCGCGTTTAGAGATGACAAAAGTTTTGATGTTGCAAAAATACTCCTGTTCATATGGAGGAAACGAGTCTGACTAATAAAACAGTTCATCACTTGTAACGGATGAGTAGAATACGAGCATTCCAGTCAGCAATTTACTCAACCTATTTTTGAAAAGGAAAAAAAAACTATAAAGTGCAGCAACAATGCGATGCAATGCGTTCGGTAAATGTGAAGGATAGAATCAAATTATCGAAGTTTATTATTGGATTTTTCTACTTTTGAAAGATGTTTCCACTTCAACGGACACCAGACAGAAACATTGTAGATTAATAATATTCGTGGAGTGTCACAGTTATTTTCTTCATATTGAAACTTCATAGTTATTTTTTTATTATGTAAGAGTTCAGGCCGAAGAGGGGGGGGGGAGTTTTTTAAACATAAAAATAAAAATCATTTTCCAAAAATTTGAAACATGCCTGACCAATAAAACAGTTGATCACTTGTTTCGGATGAGTAGAATACGAGCATTCCAGTCAGCAATTTACTCAATCTATTTTTGAAAAGGAAAAAAACTGTAAAATGCAGCAACAATGCAATGCGTTCGGTGAGTGTGAAGGATAGAATCAAATTATCGGAGTTTATTATTGGATTTTTCTGCTTTTGGAAGATGTTTCGACTTCAATGGACACCAGACGAAAACATCGTAGATTAATAATATTCGGGGAATCTCCATGTTATTTGCTTCATATTGAAATTCTATAGCTGTTTCGTTCCATTGATTTGCAATTGAAAATTGAATGGAGAGAAAATCGTTGAAACAGACGAGACAATCCCACTCCTTGCCTTGCGTTACGCATTTTCAAGATGTCAACAAATTTCAAAGGGATATTTTTGAAGTTCCACGTTTAGACACGAGAAAACACCAAAACCTCAGCCGCAGGAATTTCCCTGTATTTGTGAAAATATTCATGTTTACACTGAGAAAATAAGTCTGACAAATAATACAGTTGATCACTTGTAACGAATAAATGAAACACAAGCTCTCGAGTCAGGAAATCACCCAATCTATATTAAAAAATTCAAACCCCACAGAGCGCAGTCTGCGATGCGTTCAGCCCGCGATAATTTATTAATTTCCAATGTCAGAGGACGCAGGACGGAAACATGAGCCCAGCTATTTTCCATTACCGCATCCAATATTTATTGTAACTCTGAGGGTTGAATCACGGTTGATAGCTGGTGTGGCTAAACATTAAATTTCAATTGAAAAAAAAGGTAAAAGGCTTTTCAGTTCGAGTGAAAGTTAATAATTCAGCATATAGACTTTTATCGGCTTCCAATTTGGAGACTCAACAACCGGTGGCAGGTGAAAATTGGATTACCCATTAAATTTTCTCCCAAATTTTCCATTCAAATCCGGTAATTAATGAAACAGAAAGTTGTTGAATAATTAATTTCTTCATAGTTATTAACTTTCCCTCCTGATTCCATTATTATTGGTGGTGAGGGTTGCATGTGGATTAATTATTACCAACATTTTTTATCGGTGAAAGAATAGTGATCTGTCAGTCAAGCAATTGTTTCACAACCGATTTTTCATTGCCTCTGAATGGAAATTTTTTCATCACTCAAATTTAAGTTTTTGTTTTTGTTTTGGGGTAACTAAATATAGTATAAAAAGTATGAATATGTAATTTCCCTTTTTCTTCATTTCTTCCGAAATTACCTGATAAGGGACCAATCGAATTTCATGATTTTTTTCATGAATATAGAGTTTACTAAGCTCTATTCATTGACACCAATTAAAATTCAATTTTTCATACAGATTCGAAAAAATTGATATTTTTCCAAAAGTCGATTTATCAACGATCACTGATGATGAATAGATAGAACGAAATAATACGCAATATTATGATGACATTTCAATTGATGATAGTACTATGACAAGAATAAATAGACGAAGAGAATAGTAAAATAAGAATCCTGTTTACTAAAAATGAAAGAAACGTGAAATTGTTTTATATCGAAATGTCTCGAAACTGCATAACCGCTAATCCTCAATTCTGATTGGTCAATGAGTCACGTGAAATAGTCGCTGAAAAAAATCCCCAGTATTTTCAAATTCTTCAAATGCCAAAAATTTTTTCTGTCATATTTTTCATTTTTTCATGTGTGAAGTTTATCTTTATATCAAAACATATCTAAATTGCCTAATTGTTGACCATGAGAAAAAAATATTGAATTTCTAAATTTTTTCAACTCACAAATTATTCGTCACTTCCCAAATTTTAATTTTTTCATATTTATCATGATCAATTTCGTTTCTCAGATTTTCATACATAAATTCTAAACTCTACAAAATTCATGAAAATTCTTCGCTTTCCCAAATAATTCGAGAAAAATCATTGAAGATCTACGGTTATCTGAAAAACTGAAATTTTCCGAAGAATTCAAGAAATTCTTTCAGTTTTCTAGGAAATCAATTCATAACCCTCCCCTCATTTTTCAACAATTACAGATTTTAATCAGATTATTTTAAAAAGAAAAAAAAAGAATTAATCGAAGATTAAAAATTATTCATTGAATTTTCACTCTTCATTCTCTTAATTCTCGTTGGCATTATCAATATTCATAAAACATCTATAAATTCGATTTCTTCATTTTCACAATGAATAGATAAGCGCGCCCACGTCTGGTTAAAAAAAAACCCATTATCAGCAACAATAACTACACTCATTTATAAAAGAATGTAATTATCCGCTTGTTTTCCACGTGTACCAAAGATTTCAGCCAAAAAAACGTTAACACTGCAGATTGCACCTCGATTGTCACTAACAACTCGTCATTTCCTATTTAAAGGGCCGCAAAGGTAAAGGATCAATATTTGTCTGGGCATCAGGTAACGGTGGTAGAGACCAGGACAATTGCAACTGTGATGGTTACACAAATAGTATATGGACACTATCAATAAGTAGTGCAACTGAAAATGGTTTAGTGCCGTGGTACAGTGAGGCATGTTCGTCAACACTAGCAACAACATATAGTTCTGGCTCAACTGGTGAGAGGCAGGTTGTCACAACTGATCTACATCATCACTGTACCAGTAGTCACACGGGAACTTCAGCTTCTGCTCCACTCGCCGCTGGTATTTGTGCACTAGCCCTCGAGGCTAATAAAGAGCTTACATGGCGTGACATGCAACACATTGTTGTTAGAACCGCAAAACCAGCAAACTTGAAGGCACCAGATTGGGTTACCAATGGTGTCGGACGAAATGGTGAGTCAATTAACATATTTCAGTTACTTCGGTGGACCTTCGGGCGGTTATTGGAAAATCGAAAGCGTCATCGATGTGGTTTAATTCGTGTGGTCCAGGGATTTTGCATTTAGGTTTCGTACGTTAAACATCGGGGGGAACTCTCGCCATGATTCGAAATGATATTGCACTGAGAGAAGAAATTAGTTTTGCCAAAAAACTATATGTTCCTCTGAAGAGATCTTTTGGATCAATTTGCTTGTGGACAAAAAGAAATTGTTCTTGTGAGACATTTATTTGTCTTTCGGGTAAATACATTCGTTCCACAGGAAATTATATGTAGTATACACTCAATTTTTTTTTGCAAAAGTTACTTTAGAATATATTTACACATTGACAACTTAACGACACTGAATTATTTTTTCAATGTTTTTTAGATTGTTAGAGTCATTAATATTGTTTGTATTGTCACTTGAATTTCGTTGTACGCTTAAGGTAGTCCTGTATTGTTTGTTGCCCTCCTGCGCAGACCCTTGAGTCCAAGTACAAGGAATTTCTCCGTTGTTTTACGACCGGAAGGGTCGACATTTCGTCTCGACAGTTGAGGAAACTGTAATAAAACAGAAAAAATGTAAACGTGATTTTATGAGAATTTTGAGGATTATCGGACGTACGTTCTGACATTTACGATTATTTACGGGTCTGCAATGGCAACGGAGAAGTTTCTTCGTCTGCCCTTTTCTGTGACGTCCGAACAATATGCTCATCTTGGTCTTGTTTCAAAGCTCTGTAACAATAACTGGGGTTTAAGCACCGAATTTATTTGATTTCCCTCGGCCAATCTCGAGGTAGTGACGATGACAAATGCTCCGCTATGCTCCCATTCTCCTCTAATCATTCACGGGAACCAATCAATTTCTGAATATTATGGTGGAATTCACCGTGAACTTTATCACTTCACTTTTCATGGAAATTTAAATACAAGTGCCAAATGCTGTTGAAAAAACAAAAACAAATTAATCGATCATGAGAAAAATAGGGCTGTAGCATTGTACATCTCCACTCTTTTGTTGCAGTCAGTCACAGTTTCGGCTACGGTCTAATGGATGCCACCGCAATGGTACGACTTGCCAAAAAATGGCGGACTGTACCAGAGCAGCACCACTGCGAAGTGTCTGCCCCGCACATGAACAGGTTTGCTGTCAATTTGACAAAATATATTTCCATTCTCTTCACTCATCGTCATATTATCGACGTGAGCGGCAGAGTACACTGTTAGAAAAAAATGAAATTTCGTGGACTTTAGTTGGCTATTAATTTTCATCACGCTGTGACGAAAAGTGAACTTTTCGGCACGCTCCGCGTGCCTAAAAGTCCAGTTTTTGCCACATTGTGATGAAAAATATTGTTCGTAACTCATGAAAAAATGTTTTTTAGCTCGTGGGATTCGCTTTCGGCTCGTGATATAAACCTCCCACTCGCCAAAAAACACTTTTTTGCACTCGTTACGAAATATACTATTTCATCACGCTGTGACGAAAAGTGAACTTTTCGGCACGCTCCGCGTGCCTAAAAGTCCAATTTCTGCCACATTGTGATGAAAAATATTGTTCGTAACTCGTGAAAAAATGTTTTTTAGCTCGTGGGACTATATCACTCGCCTTCGGCTCATGATATAAACCTCCCACTCGCCAAAAAACACTTTTTTGCACTCGTCACGAAATATACTATTTCAGGACAGGGACTCCAAGCGCTTCAAAATTATATTTCCTGATAGCTTCGTTGCAAACAAATGAGGGTGTCAAGTTTTGCAGGTTAAAAAATTCCGAGCGCTTGCGCGAGGGATTTTTCTGCAAAACTTGGCACGATGGTTTGTTTGCAGGGGAGCTTGAGGGAAATACCCGATTAATTTTGAATCTCGAGGGGTATTTGTCGGATTATTTTTCCCAATCGGATTTTGGCCAAACAGAGTGCAGTGGACAACAGCAGGAGGTGAATTGGGGAAGATTTGAACAAATTATGTTAATAGAATAACCCGATTTCCATAGACTGTCAAATATAAGATTCTATCTGAAATGAGCCGAAAAAATGAAGACCTACTGCGAAATATTCAAAAGCTAGGAGGAAATATCCGAAATAAAACTGTCGGGTAGCCTAAAATACTGCGCTCTGATTGGTCGAAATCCGATTGGGAAAAATAATCAATAAAAATTACGTATCTTTTCCGTAATTCCGGAGCGAAATGTGGTTATAGGAAATTTTACGGAACCGTCACGGAATTTTTCCAGAGCGTTCGGTAATTTTTATCTGAATCTCCTGTGAAAAATTACGATACCGTCACTTAAATTTTCTGAGTCGATTCCGTAATCGGTGAGTGAATTGTGAGTTTCGTAATTTTTACTGAACATTTCTCTCCGTGCAGTGGTAATTAAATTCGTTGAAAATTTTAAACAAGTGTAGTCCGACGTTTCCTAAAATCCAGGCTATTGAATCTTCATTCGTTTACAGACAAATTCCATCCAGGAGCCAATTGGTATTGGAGCTGCACGTGAAGGAGTGCAGTGTAGTCAATTTCCTGGAGCATGTGCAAGTAAGAATCTTCCACTGCTTTAAAGACGTGGATTAGTGATATGAATGGGGAGTAATACTGATCATTTTGGCTTTTAATTCCCTCTCAAGGCGAAAATTACGCTGTCGACGACTAGACGGGGAGATCTTGAAATTACCCTGACGTCACCTCAGGGCACTAAAAGTACGTTACTGGCGAAGCGACCGCACGATGTTGCAAAGACGGGTTTCGAACGGTGGCCATTCATGTCAGTGCATACTTGGGGGGAGCGACCGCATGGCACATGGAAGTTGGAAATTCACAATGAGGGTCGATATTTTGGTGAGTGCTTCCTCCATTTCAGTCCTCTACTTTTTTTTCAGATGTCTAGTGGAGAATTTGGTTTTTATCATTGAAGATACCGTTCGGTACGCTGATAGACGGATTCATTTATTCCAAACGAGATTCGTTAACTATTAACGAATGGGACAGTTGAATATGACCAAACGAATATTCGTTAATAGTTAACGAATGGGTCACTTGAAAAGTGAAAATCGAGTCAAACAAGGCTTCTCAAATCCATATTTGTTAACTATTAACGAATGAACATTTGGTGAGACCGAATCGACCCTTGTCTCCAATCAAATCCATTGGTTAACAATAACTAATCCTTTCTATCAGTGTATTGGAGAATTTGAAGTCGGTCGAATTCGCAGTCGAATTAAACTTCCAACAATTGAGGAATATTCCTGTGAAATCCGTCCGAAAATATGGGGATTTTCGGAGGTTTCATGATTATGAGTCAATGTTATAAGCAGGAACAACATTAACTCCGTTCAATAGATCAAATTTATCAGATAAAATTACTCCGTCCCAGGAGATGAAGACGATGTTCATCGGTTTCAATGTCAGACGTAGAATTCCTTTTTCAGATTTATATTTTTTTAGGAGAGCGGCATTGAGTTTGATTTAACTTAAAACAACTATGAAATTTTCGATTTACTGAATATTCAAGAATGTATTTACCGGAATTCGTCTGATTAACATTTTTTTTTTGGAATAATTGAACTAAAATTTACAGTTTCTATTGATTTTTTCATCAAATTTTGAACTTTCAATGACCAAATTCCTTGAAATTACAATGGAGCTATAACATGTTGTAAATTTGTAACAGTGGTCTTTGGTAAGACGTCGAAGTGCAAAATCCTCGAAATTTAAATCAAATTATCTAGCAAATATTTTAAATTTCTCTGAAAATTCAGGAAATTTTGAAATTTTTGAGCAGCAAAATGACGAGAAATTTTCCAGTGCCCTTGAATTTTCAAACAAAACATTCAGATTTAGCACCAAATTGCCCTAAGTCAATTTCAATTGACTGAAAATGCAAAAATATATCTACCTACATTTTCTTGACATTTTCCTACCATTCATTTTTTGGAATAATTGAGCTAAAATTGGCAGTTTCTATCTTTATTCCATAAAAATCATCCGAATTCACAGCAAATTCTCAGAAAATACATGAATATTCACGTGAAAATATTCCAAAAATACAAAGAACCAGCAATGAAGAAGTTTCCCTCCAACTTCTTCATTATGAATCGATTTCACAAGCGACATAAACGTTAAATCCCTCTAATTGATGGAACTCATCAGATCCATCAGCACCCAGGAATGGAGAACGATATTCATTGGCTTCAAAAGTCAGACGTAGAATCCCTCTCAGGAAATTCAAAATGTTTAATTAATGCCGATCAATAGTTCAACTAATTACCAATTCCACCCTCATCCACTTTGATTCACTAACAACTTCACTCAAAAATAAATAAAGAAAAACTACGATTCGATCCCATCACGATAAACTTCCCTGAACTAACATCATTAATTACGCAGAATAACAGAGGATAATAGATTATAATAATATCACCCATGACTACGTATCGTGTTGCGGATAGTTAGGTACAGGTTTTGAACACAGACGAGCGTGGAACTCCGAGAAAAGCCCAGTTTCGGTCAGTGATTAACTTTCCCAAGTTTGGGATAATAGAAACAGGCACAAGTGAAATCCCAGGGACGCACTATAATGCATCGCTTCGAACAGTTTTCGTTTTGTTGTTCCTGTGTGATAGAGTCTGTCATCGTTCGTTGTTCCAATTAGTGCATTGAAAAAATGAAAATGCATCGTGCACTCGGAGAAATGATGGATCTCAACGAAATAAAACTTTTGATTTGAAATTTTTCTCTCCATTTCAAATATTTTCGTTGGAGTGGAGAGAAAAATTAAACTCGTGTATTTATTTCAGTAAAAGTGAGTTGATTGAAGGGAATCATTACTTCGTTTAATTCAAATCCAGGATTATTCACCCAATTGCTAATATCGAGATGTCACAAGTGCACTGTCGCCTCAATAAATCCGAGTTTTTATGATCCATCACAAAGGTGTTGAGACGTGAACGGCTTCATTGCAAAATATCCCACACCCCCTCGTATATCAAAGAAACTGTCACTATTCACACCGATATTAAACTAGGAAAATCATCCTTCGACTGCCAAGAAATCACTCTCACAAGCTCATTAATTTGTTCTTCTGACATTCAAGAAAAAAATTAGAAAAATCGCAAAAATTTTCAAGAAAAAAATTTATCAATCAAGTCGACGAATTTGATTCGATACGATTAAAACTGGATTATGCCCCAAAAAAATGGTGAATTCAAGTAAAATAAAGCGTTTCATTTCAAATTTTTCGATTCATTTCAATGTTTTGTTCAATCAAAATGAACTGCTGAAATGAAATCACTGGTTCATTAAACTCAAATCAAGGCTTATTCACTCAATTGCTAATATTGAGATGTCACAAGTGTGCTGTCGCTCCAATAAAACCGAGTTTTTATGGCCCATCAGAACGCTATTGAGACGTAAAATCCCTCACTGCGAGATATGGGGTATAAACCCTCCCATTTGATTTTTTTCTCCAACTCAGCAATATAACATCTTCCTCGGATATTAATGAACTCATATAATTATCTCAATCAAAATGAGTTGATTACACGAAATAAGTAATTTGTCCAATGCAACCGAAGCTATTAGGATTGTTCATCCTCTCGTTAACATCGGGACGTCAACGGTGTGACGTCCTTTCAACGATTCCGAGTTTTTATGATCCATCACAAAGATGTCGAGCCACAAAAGGCTTCACTGCGAACTACCCATACCGTGGTGGCACTCGTTTTCGAATGGTTAAGGGGCACCCACCCATCAATATCGGATTATCCGTGTTTTTCCCGTCAAATGTGAAATATTACCCTTTAGTAGTCACTTCGGATGTTTTTCCGACAGCTGGACACTTGATTTTTATTGAAAAAGTTGGGAATTAGATGAATACACACAATATATATGAATGCACAGGATAATTCATCCAGAAATAACAGCATTTACAGAGGAAAACAATGAAAATGGACTTCACTGCACTGAGAGAAAAAATTATTTTAGACAAAAAAGGTTCACTCGATATTTTCTCCTATCAAAGAAATCATCTTTATCAAAAGTAATTGTTTCCCTCAGTTGAATATTCATTACCGCGAAATAATGCCACTCCGGTACCGCATCGTATCCCAAACAAACTTTCCCAACTCAAAACGCCATAGAATTACCAAAAAAAAAATCGTCCAACTGCCTCGAAACCACTTCCATAAACTCATAAAACTGTTCCACCCGGAAACCCTGAAATTCCCACAGGTCGTGCAACCCTCCACGAGTGGGCCCTGATATTCTACGGTACAGCAACAGTGCCCGACCGTTCCGAATACGCATTATACAGTCCAGCAAGTGCAAATCCCCCGAAAAAGCCATTCATCAAGTTGCGCGAATCGAATTATTCAAAAAATGCACTCAATCCATTTGCCACAAAAGGAAAGCAAAATAAATCAGTTAAGCCCGGCAGTGGTATGAGTCAACCATACGTGACGGGTGTACAGAGTCAGTCGGCGAAAAAAAGTAAAGCAAGGGGTCAGCACAAGAATGGCAAATCGGCCAATAGACCAACCGCACGTCCAACTGTACAGACTCTCCGGGGATTGAATGCCGGACGTGTATCCGGCATCACACTGAGACCGAGGGGCCGCACTACACCGAGGCCAATTCTTGAAACTACACTTAGAAGTACTACCACCAGGACAATGACTAAATCACCGAAGCAACGGATCATCGATAGTGCGACAGTGTCACCGATGCAACGAGGACTCATTCTCATGGAGCCACCGTCCAAGGCGTCGACGAACAAAGTGCCCGTTGTCTTTCAACAGTACCCGAAAATCCAGCAGCTCTATCCACTCTATCCGATTTATGCGGGTGCCAGAGGTGCCGATCCACCCGCCACGAGGGCCAAGGGGCTCGATCTACTCCAGGATCAACAGTTTGACTCGAGAAATCTGCAGATCACTGACAAGGGTATTGGGATGCTTTAACTATAACTCTCTGCACGAGTTTTTTTCGCTGGATTCAGTATTTTTTGCGATAGATTTTGTAGATTTTTTTTCAGCGAGGCTTATTTTAGTTTTGTACTGTTATTTATGATTTATTCGATGTGATGAAGGCTTTCACAGTGTTTTTGGTTTTGTTTATTTGTACTGTAGTGCAATGAGTGATTATGAGTTTTTTCGGTATGCGGTTATTATTGATGTGGAATGAAAACGAGTTATTATCAGATTTTATGTGGATTTTTGGCAGGAAAATGGTGAGAATGATGGAGCGAAATGAGGGAAGCAAAATGTGAAATCCTCGCATATTTATAGGATTTCATGCGATTTTAGTTGATAAAATAATTATAATCAGATGGGAATGTTCGCGGAACAAATGAATTTCTTATATTTACATCGAATCATCCAAATGTTTTCAATCCAAACTGTTTCCACATTCGTTCGGAATATTTCGGGAATCACGGAGTGTCTTATTGATAATTATTCTGTATATTAATATCCGTGGGGAGTGACTCCAAACTCGGATCTCCGAGGAAAAATCGTCGGGTTTTGCGGCTGCTGTCTGAAAATCTCAGCACCCAACAATATCCCCTGTTTTTTTTTATACACACTCTCCTGTTCCGCGTTTAATCCCGTAGCCCAGCGTCGCTGTTCTTTCTCTCGCTTTCACGGTGTTTTTACGTTCAACCTTTTTTCCTCGCCAACAGTCGATTTTACGAGCTGAGTTGAAGATGAATCGTTTCCACGGGTGAAATTTAGCAGATCCTCAGTTCCATTCTATCGTAATTTTTTCTGAAAACCTTACGATTTATGTATACTGTAGTGCGAAGAGTGACAATGCGCGGTTTCTTTATGACATCGTTATTATTTGTGTGGAATGTCATGAAACCGAGTTGTTATCCGATATGATGTGGAATTTCCATTGGGAATATATTGTTAGCTCATTACCAGTGGTGATTAAAATGATGAAACGTTCGTTAGGAAAACACAATAATCGTGAAATCCTCGCGTATTTATATGTTTTCGCGCGATTTTAGTCAATAAAGCAATTATATTCGGACGGGAATGTTCGCGGTGCAAATGAATTTCTGATATTTACATCGAATCATCCAAATTTCCACTGTTTCCACATTCGTGCGGAATATTTCGGGAATCACGGAGTGTCTTATTGATAATTATTCTGTATATTAATATCCGTGGGGAGTGACTCCAAACTTGGATCTCCGAGGAAAAATCGTCGGGTGGTGCTGCTAGGCAGTCTGAAAATCTCAGCACCCAACAATATACCCTGTTTTTTTTTATACACACTCTCCTGTTCCGCGTTTAATCCCGTAGCCCAGCGTCGCTGTTCTTTCTCTCGCTTTCACGGTGTTTTTACGTTCAACCTTTTTTCCTCGCCAACAGTCGATTTTACGAGCTGAGTTGAAGATGAATCGTTTCCACGGGTGAAATTTAGCAGATCCTCAGTTCCATTCTATCGTAATTTTTTATGAAAACCTTACGATTTATGTATACTGTAGTGCGAAGAGTGACAATGCGCGGTTTCTTTATGACATCGTTATTATTTGTGTGGAATGTCATGAAACCGAGTTGTTATCCGATATGATGTGGAATTTCCATTGGGAATATATTGTTAGCTCATTACCAGTGGTGATTAAAATGATGAAACGTTCGTTAGGAAAACACAATAATCGTGAAATCCTCGCGTATTTATATGTTTTCGCGCGATTTTAGTCAATAAAGCAATTATATTCGGACGGGAATGTTCGCGGTGCAAATGAATTTCTGATATTTACATCGAATCATCCAAATTTCCACTGTTTCCACATTCGTGCGGAATATTTCGGGAATCACGGAGTGTCTTATTGATAATTATTCTGTATATTAATATCCGTGGGGAGTGACTCCAAACTTGGATCTCCGAGGAAAAATCGTCGGGTGGTGCTGCTAGGCAGTCTGAAAATCTCAGCACCCAACAATATACCCTGTTTTTTTTTATACACACTCTCCTGTTCCGCGTTTAATCCCGTAGCCCAGCGTCGCTGTTCTTTCTCTCGCTTTCACGGTGTTTTTACGTTCAACCTTTTTTCCTCGCCAACAGTCGATTTTATGAGCTGAGTTGAAGATGAATCGTTTCCACCGGTGAAATTTAGCAGATCCTCAGTTCCATTCTATCGTAATTTTTTATGAAAACCTTACGATTTATGTATACTGTAGTGCGAAGAGTGACAATGCGCGGTTTCTTTATGACATCGTTATTATTTGTGTGGAATGTCATGAAACCGAGTTGTTATCCGATATGATGTGGAATTTCCATTGGGAATATATTGTTAGCTCATTACCAGTGGTGATTAAAATGATGAAACGTTCGTTAGGAAAACACAATAATCGTGAAATCCTCGCGTATTTATATGTTTTCGCGCGATTTTAGTCAATAAAGCAATTATATTCGGACGGGAATGTTCGCGGTGCAAATGAATTTCTGATATTTACATCGAATCATCCAAATTTCCACTGTTTCCACATTCGTGCGGAATATTTCGGGAATCACGGAGTGTCTTATTGATAATTATTCTGTATATTAATATCTGTGGGGAGTGACTCCAAACTCGGATCTCCGAGGAAAAATCGTCGGGTGGTGCTGCTAGGCAGTCTGAAAATCTCAGCACCCAACAATATACCGTTTTTTTTTGTACACACTCTCCTGTTCCACGTTTAACCCCACAACCCAGCGTCGCTAAGTTTTTTCTTTCGTTTTCACGTGTTTTTTCACGTTTACCTTTTTTTTCTCACCAACATGCTGTGGTACACTCAGCAGAGCAACGAGGGTCGAGTAAAATTTCCCCGCCGACGTCGTGACGCTTTATTAATTTCCCGGACGCTGGCGCCAACGTATCCCAGACCCCCCTTGATGCAGGGGAAAAAAAAATTCTCGTACATCCCGTTACGATAAAAAATGAATTCGGGGAAAACAATCTTGCAGAATCTTTCATAAATCGTTTAAACTACTTATTGCAGTTGCTTGTTTATTTTGAAGGTTTAATATGTATCGGACGGGCTTCCTGGGATGTTTGCTGAATGTAGCGCAGCACAATGTACACCTGCTATATTTTTATTTGCGTGGGTAGGCAGGGAGTATTGTTATTGGAAGGAGCGAATAGCTTCTGTAAACGTTAAATATATGTTTTAGTTCGTGTAGTGTAATAACACTTGGGACCCGGTTGGATACGGAGAATTTCACGTTCTAATTCCGGGTTAAATTTACGAAATGAGTTTTCAAGTGAATTGTCAAATAAAAATTTCAACGGTGTGTAAATTTCAGTTAAGCGGGCAGTTGAGTTGGAATTCGAGAATTATGGAGGAAATTATTGTTATAAGTATGTTAACTCGTCTGTAAACTTGATTAGCGTGTGGGTAATGGATGTTACGTGAGTGCAGACCTGTCGAGGTGACGTGACTACTGTGTTTATCTTAGTTATTATTGTTATTCACCTTGTCGTGGTTTTTGGTTCTTTTTTTGAGATTTTGTTACTGAAGGGCTTAGGCATGTAGTTATTACTAGACATAGAGGATGAATTATTTCTGAAATTGACAATATGTTTCTTAGAAATGGATTTTCTTATGCTTATTGTCTGAGAAGTTGACGATCAATTGAGGAGAGGCACTTCATTCGTATTATTTATTAAGTATTGATGTCTTGATATTTTTTATTTCTCACTTTTTGTCGATTAATGTTGGGAATTTTACACTATATATCATTAGCATGCTCACGACGGAAGAAATACCGTAAATTGAGAATAGTTCTCAGTCGATTTTACGTAGATTTTCATTTCACTCGATCAATATTCCATTTACAAATCGACTTTTCCCAGTTTAGAATGCAATTCCCATGTATTTCCAATCAATGTTTGAACTGAGAACAATATTCACTATTTTTTTCTCGATGTCACCACCTGAAAATGCATTTTGGTAGTCCTCCAATCTAAACCGAGAATCGTGGAAGAGGGGTCTCTTCCACGATTCCCTAACAAGATAACTCACGGAAAGTTGATCGAGTACTCATTATCATGGCTTTTTGCCTCTAGTTTTTGAAGATTTATCGCTGAAATTCTTATGCATGTAATTGTGTTTCAGAGTAATTCTCTTTATCAACTAAATTGATGATGAATTAAAGGGAGAGACTTTCTTCGTGCTATTTTTTACGTAAAGTTAATAAATAAGTCGATTCATGTTGATGATTCTACACTAGGCATCATCACCATGCTCACGAAGGAAGAAAAATCCTTAAATCGAGAATATAATACTCGGTCGATTTTACTTACATTCTCATTTCACTCGATTAATATTCCATTTACAAATCGACTTTTCCCAATTTAGAATGCAATTCCCATGTATTTCTAATAAATGTTCAATCTGAGAACAATATTCACTATTTTTTTTCTCAATGTCACCCCCTGGAAAATTCATTTAGTGAGGAATTTAGTCACCCGCTGCTAAATTCTTATGCATGTCATTGCTTTTGAGAGTAATTCTCTTTATCAACGAAATTAATGATAAATTAAAGGGAGAGACTTTGTTCGTATTATTTTTTAAGTAAAGTTAATAAATAAGTTTTGTTGATTCATCAGCATGCTCACGAAAGAAGAAAAATCCTTACATCGAGAATATATTTCTCAGTTGATTTCACTTACATTCTCATTTCACTCGATCAATATTCCATTTACAAATCGACTTTTCCCAATTTAGAATGCAATTCCCACGTATTTCTAATCAATGTTTAAACTGAGAACAATATTCACTATTTTTTTCTCAATGTCACCTCCTGCAAATGCATTTTGGTATTCCTCCAATGTAAACCAAGCACCCTCCACCTCTCTCCCACGATTCCCGAGTAAGACAATCCACGCAAAGTTGATAGAGCACTCGCTATAACAGTATTACAATACGAGACGAGAGGCGCCAGGTTCCTCGAGCGTGAATCGCCCTCACTTCGCCCCGTATTTGGTTTACAGCTTGGTTACTCACTAGTAATTCATTTCATGTGAGAGTACCTCACATGTGCCACCAAATTTGCCGGTGTCATCTTGTCTCACTCCAGCAATTCCCCAGCGTGAAACTCCGGCTCTGAATTAATAAATCTCTTTCATTCCAGGCACCCTCGAGAACTGGCAGCTGATATTCTATGGCACCGAGACATCAATCGAATTCGACGACGAGTTGGACAAGGACAAGCCAAGTCCGGCTATTTCTCCCGACGTCAATCAGGACAATTCAGCGAGTGATGGTCATCAAAATGTCATTGACACTGAGGGTGATCCACGGCTTGGCAGACAACAGGTGGATCTCATATCCCATCCCGAAATTCAGAAGCCAACGACGGAGAATGGAACGAGCGCTTCGTGCCGGAATTTCGATTCTCACGGGTGCCTAGGTGGGTGCCTCCTCATTCTCCTTCTTCTCCAAACAATAACTTGGGAATCAAGATGAAGTGCGTCAATTATCGGCGCCTGAGGTGCATTACGATTTTCATGACGTATCTTTTATTTCATTTCAATTCTTCACTCTCCCCGTGCTGATCGAAAAAATTCATTCTATTGAGATGTCTTTTGCTTGGAGCGAGTATTCCACAGGTTGATGGCAGCATCTTGCTTGTAAATTGTAAGGAGACATACGGTGGGAAATCGGTTATTCAAGGGCACAGGAATTAGGAAACTACGGTAATCAATTTTTGAACAGTGAGCGTTTGAATCAATGATGTGGAGAAATATTCAGTAACAATTATGGACCTCACAATTCACTCACCGATAACGGAATCGACTCAGAAAATTTAAGAGAGGGTATCGTAATTTTTCACAGGAAATTCAGATAAAAATTACCGAACGCTCTGGAAAAATTCCGTGAAAGTTCCGTAAAATTTCCTACAATCACATTTCGCTCCGGAATTACGGAAAAGATACGTAATTTTTATTGATTATTTTTCCCAATCGCATTTCGACCAATCAGAGCGCAGTATTTTAGGCTACTCCCCAGTTTTATTTCGGATATTTCCTCCTAGCTTTTGAATATTTCGCAGTAGTTCTTCATTTTTTCGCCTCATTTCAGATAGAATCTTATATTTGACAGTCTATGGAAATCGGGTTATTCCATTAACATAATTTGTTCAAATCTTCCCCAATTCACCTCCTGATGTTGTCCACTGCACTCTGCTTGGCCAAAACCCGATTGGGAAAAATAATCCAACAAATACCCCTCGAGATTCAAAATTAATCGGGTATTTCCCTCAACCTTCTCTGCAATCAAACCATCGTGCCAAGTTGTGCTGAAAAAACCCTCGCGCAAGCGCTCGGGATTTTTTAACCTGCAAAACTTGACACCCTCATTAGTTTGCTACGAAGCTATCGGGAAATACCCGATAATTTTGAAGCTCTTGGGGTATTACTTCTGAATATTACTCTCTGTGTGCCTCCATGGGTGGAAATGGCAATGTCGTCATAATAGGGGTCTTGTATGGAGTTCAGTTTTCCCTAATTTTCTTAGTCACCCATCTATAGCTAATCCCATAGATAGCTTAGTCACCCATAGATAGCTAAGCGAAAAAAATTATGGAGAAATATTGCCTAGATATTCTATAATTAATATACATAGATATAATGAAAGTCAGTGTAGGTTGTCTGTGCGTGCCGCCATCGGAGCACGTCAAAAAAACTTCGTTAAAAAAACCTGGTTAAATTCAACTTGGGAAAATGAACTTTTGTCAAATTGAAGTTTCGTCAATAAAACCTTCCGGTTATCTTGTCTTTTGTAAGAATATTGGTAAAATCTGTGTTTGTGCTTGCAATTTTAGCGTATGGTTTGGTTCCTTGGGAAAGAAATAATCGATGATCCTCATTTATTTCATTGAAGTGGGATTTTCTTGGGAGGGGGCAATTGAGTTGCAATGCGAAATTTTTCTTCTTTTCGTCAGTAGTTTCCGATTGTCCGTGGGGATTGGGTACGATGTTTTGTATTGTAGTTCGTTCAGTTTTTTTTCCATTTTTGGTTTCTGATTGAAGTTAAGTTTCCAAATTTTTGTGTTAAGGTAACTAAAAAAGATCCAAAAAGTCCGAATATGCGGTTTTAGAAAGTGTCTGTATGTATGTAAATGTGTGGTCTTTTTTTCCATTTTTTTTCGCAATTTTCTTTATACGTTGAAAGTTTAAATTTTTTTCCAAATTCTTTGAAGTTTAGGTTGTTCGAATTTTTTTCTTCAATTTTGTTTTCTTACCAAGCTGTTTTGACCAAGTTTTTTTAACGGAAGTTTTTTAGACATGGACCCGCCGCTATTACTATTGCTACCTAGATATCTATGGCGATATCTATTTCGATGATTTCAGAGATATTTAACGCGATGGTTGGCGCAGCATTATGTGCGATAGTTCGCTGAATGTTCATTGCAGCAATCAAACCAATAATTTTATCGACATGAAGAGCGATATTAAGTATCATATCAAGTACCATTGACAGCTGCGTCACCGTTTCCAATCATGGTGGCAGTCAATCACGACGCGATTGGATGAAGTGCTGAAAAATTCTAACGTTCACCATTCGAAAGTCTATTATCGGAATTTAATCATTTATGTACCATTGATCTCCTGATTTTCTATTCTATATTCTTCTGAAATTTATAAACAAGAAGCGGATGACGTTATTCTATAGAGTTTAATAAATTTCAAATAGATAGGATTTTGTGGTGAATATCGATAATTCTTTTTTGATATGCATTCACTTTAAATTCATTAAATGAAACACCGCTCGGAGTCAAGTGATATGTATTTACTGCAAGAATGGGAAAGTTTCAATTTTTTTAATTTAATATAATGAAAACAATTTCCACTTTTGTCAATTGATAAATAATTGAATGGTGTTTCCTCGAATTAATTCAATAGCGAAACGGTAAAACGGTTCAAGTAGATTTTCACTATTTGCCAGTTTTCTATGAATATCTCGAAATCTAGAGGAGCTAAATCAGAATTTGTGAATGGAGTTTGTGATTTGCTAATTTATTATAATTTACTTGGAACAACGTATGATCATCTTGATTGATGTAATAACGTATTCAGTCATAAGAATAATTTTCATTTCGGGTAAACCGAAAAATTCCTAGAAACAACACACCTTTACTTTCAAAAGAAATCAGATATTCCCAGTATTGCGACAAATAAGATGACCCTAAATCCTAGGCAATTTATATTTTCCCAATCAAATGTATGACACAAAGAGATGGCCGATATTCAATAAGAAATCCTCTCAACTTGAAGATTAATAACCAAATAACAATTGATCCAAGCAAAATTATCTTGCTAGAATGAATAATTTCTGTCGGTGCATGTGAATCGGGCCCTGTACGACCGAGTGAATGTCTTAATTGTTACAGTACAACAGTTCGCTTTAATCTTGATTTTGTTGAACAAATGATTAAGATTATCGGCGCTTAGATCGACTTGCACAATCAATTTTTGACATTTTGAATTATTACCAAGGAATCAAGTGCTTTTCTGATTACCAAAATGCCAAATACTTCCAGTTTCAATAGCGAAATCGAATGCGTTTTTCCCCCTTATTTATTTGTGATAGTCCGGTGAGCCTTCGGCACTGCCTCTAGTTACAATGTATATGATAAATATGGACAATTGAAGAGATAAATTAACAGAGCTTCAACGGTGTTCAATCAATGATAACACGTCATACTTGCTCAAAGTGATGTTGCGGACAACGTAACGTCGAAATTTAAAAATTGATAACGTCTTCGCATGTTTCTAATCAACAATCCAGTGACAATATTAGTTATTTGTGGAGCATTGAAAATCGTAGATAATGGAAAAGTTTATCTTCTGTTCAGTCATATCAGGACTTCCGTTAATATCATTTGAATTTGTGAGTTGAGTTTTTCCTTTGGAACATTTCAGTCATCAATCGTGTGCTTCGCAATTTCATATCATTTTTTATTTCGAGTGAAAAGCGATACATTCGCTCTTGTAAAATATAAAACAGGATAAGTTATATGTGTATAGAGTAATCGTGTGGGACTCAGTGGACATCATTGAGTCACGAGGTGTTTGAGACATTCTGATGTTTCGATGTGCCAATGAGTGCATGGACACATACAAGTGGGGCTGTGTACAAGAAATAATCTGATGATGATGAAGTATGAATGTCATGTGTCGTTTTGTTTATCAATTATTTGAAATCACGTCGTGACGATAAAGTGCAATTAAACATACCGACGATTAACTTATCTTCTATTCATAGTGTTGCCAAATAATTAATTTAAGCGGTTCATATAGCCAATTGTATCAAGTACCAACAAATGATTATGAATATGTGAGAAATTATATGGGTAAGGATGGCCTTGCGATGAATCGAGAGTTTATCCATGGGAGAGGGAATCAGTATTAAATATCCAAGTGGCTGAATGATTTTTCAGGTATGTTGAATTTAACCATTAACTGAGAAAATTTTTCTGTAAATACAACACTTGAAGATTGTCAGATGCAAGAGATAGTACAGAGCTGAGTACGGGAAGATAAAGGGGAATTGAATGTCTGAGTTTAGTTGAAACCTATTGTAAGCGATTGTACATGGCCAGGAAATTTTCATTGAATGATCAGATAAAATGGAATAATTAATTTTAAACGGGGAAAACCGTTACAGAATCAATTGGAAAGTAATTACAAGTTCATTGATAATAGGTATACTGTTTCGTACCGGTTTTAATGCCGTCCTGGAGTACAACGGAATTATTTCGAATGTCACGTTGTATTTGGATAATTGAAATTCCTGGAGTTTTTGAAGCAAAAGGACTGCCGTTTTTCGAAGACATTCATGATCTTATACTGTTAGAAAACAGTGAAATTTCACAGGGAGTTGAGTAGTTAGTTCGAGGAGAGGAACGTGGAATTCGATGTGGGGGGAAAAAATCATGAAATTTCAGACTTCATTGGAAATTTAATGAAATTTCAAAGATTTTAACAGCAGGGAAGATGACGATTCCCCAAATTACACTGAATTATCATTTGATTGAAAATTTACAAATGTATTTACCAGAATTTTTCTGAGTTTTATTCATTTTCATGGAAAAATTGAACTGAAGTTGAAAGTTTTCATTGATTTTTTCACCTATTTGTGAATTTCTAATGACAAAATTCCTCGAAATTTCAATAAAACCTGTCACTCTATGAAAATTTCCAAAAAGTATTTAATTTCAAGGAGAGAAATTAAGAAAAATTCTTTATTCAGATTTCACTATAAATTTAGTGAAACTTCTAATTTTTCAACAACATGGAAGATGAGGACTCCCCAAATTACACTGAATTATCATTTGATTGAACATTTACAAATGTATTTCCCTGAATTTTCCGGATTATTATTCATTTTCATGCAATAATTGAACTAAAGTTCAGAGTCTTCATTGATTTCTTCTCTTATTTGTGAATTTCTAATGCCAAAATTCCGTGAAATTTCAATAAAACTTGTCACTCTATGAAAATTTCCAAAAAGTATTTAATTTCAAGGAGAGAAAGTAAGAAAAATTTTTTATTCAGATTTCACTATAAATTTAGTGAAACTTCTAATTTTTCAACAACATGAAAAATGAGGACTCCCCAAATTACACTGAATTATTATTTGATTGAACATTTGTAAATGTATCTACCTGAATTTTCCTGATTTTCACTCATTTTCATGGAAAAATTGAACTGAAGTTGAAAATTTTCATTGATTTTTCCTCCCATTTGTGGATTTCTAATGACCAAATTCCTCGAAATTTCATTGTAACTACAACCTGTACATGAAGTTTCAGTCAAAAAATTTGAACAGTGTAGATTCCTCCCTCAGCAAATAAAAAGAGTTATTTTTTATTGCATATGATAAATAAACAGTGAATTGCAATTTAATGTGCTGGAATTACCATAAAGTTGAGGCAGTTGTCATCGTTGATCCAATTTGTTACGCCATATGTCGATAAATGAAAAAAAGAAATATCTGTGATTAAATTTTGTTGATGTTACGATCCATACTCGTCGAATGTAGTTTAACCACTCGTTTGCCATTAATTAATAATTTCTCTATTATATTAATCCACATGACCAATAGTTTCATTAAATTGTAATCAATCAGTGAGTCATTCCGATTAATAAGAATTTTAATATCCCACGTAGAGATAGCATTGTTACATTCTTAAATACATTTTATGTTATGCGCGAAAAAAAATCATGGAAAAACCCATCGAATTTTACAAATAATTCTATTACTTTTCGGCCGATTCTATTGAACAATTCCTAAAGCTTTGCTGTGCGTTTTTTAAAATTAATAATGTCCAGTAGAAAATCTTCCACAGGAATTTCTCAACATGAATTTTCCACGTTTTTTTTCACTCTATTTTTCTTTTTTTTTATTGAAAAAATAGAATTCGAAAAAAATCGAGCAATTTCTACAGAAAATATCTCAATAAAGTGAATTGAGATTTCCTTAATGTAAAATGTAATAATAATTAATAATTCAAAATATTAGAATATTTAAATAGTAGAATATTTTTCGTTAAAAATTTCTATTGAAAAAAAAACGCAGGTAAGTTGCTAAATTTTCCACTCTAATTGAAAAAACATTGAAAAAACTTGGAAAAATGAAACCGAGGAATTTCCATAGAAAATATCTCAATAGAATAAATTGAGATTTGCGAAATCTAAAATTTAACAATGATAAATAATTAAAAATTTCTTACAGAATATTTTCCATTAAACATTTCTATTTGAAAAACGCACAATTTTCCAACGAATTCTCTAGGTTTTTCGATGTAATTTCTTCGCCCAAGTTAACAATCCGGTAAATACTGCAGCACTGAGTCAACGCGGACGGAATGAACAAAATATATTTACAACATTACTGATTAATCCACATTCTCCTGCTCAGTGGTTATTTGTTGATTGCATTATCTTATGAATTTGTCACATATTATTCACAAACATATCCAATTAATCTGTAAATCCATATCCTGTTGTCTCTTTTAATGAGTAAAAATTACGTTGTTGATTGCACAAATTTTGTTGTATATTTCTCCGGGCTTATAGCTTTACGATACTGTATGCTTATTTAATCGACGATGTAAATAGTATGTCGTTACGGTAGTGTGACAATTCAGTCGAAGGATTAATGGTGAACTTGGTCAGTCTGCGCTGATAAACCCAGCACTGATTTATTTTCAACTGCTCAAATTCACGTGGTATTTTACTAAAATGAAAGTACATTGGATTTGGAAAGTTATTGGAATTTCAACACGTCAATTAAGAGCGTTATTAACGGGACAAACGACGTCACGATTTTTTGGAACAGGAGTCACCCAGTGAAAGACATATTCTTGGTTTCGGAATATTTTCTTCGTGTGCTATAATTATAATAATGATATTCAATTTAGAAAAAAAAACAAAAGCCTGTGTTGTGTCATCGAAAATGTAAACAACTAAATCTCGACGATAATTGAATGTTTAATTGAACGACAATTGGCGAAATTCGTTAGTATTCATTTTACTGGAGATTTTTTTCAATCCATTAGATCATTAAACTGGCCTTTTGTGGATGCGTTAACTACGATATATGTAACTACTGTAAATGTTTGTATGTACTGTAAAATCTATCTTTGCTTGAAAGGGGGCAACATATCCTTAAGTCATAGATATCGAGAGAAATGAGAAAACGAAAATTGTAACGTGTGTGCACACAATCTGTCCCCTCAGTTCGATGTGACATTTTCGTACACGAAAAACATGAAAATATATTGAAATAAAAAGAAAATGAATGAAAGTGATGTGCGAAAATTCGCTAGATATATGCATATACCTAAGTATAAAAACTAATGAATAAGCAATTGAGGATAATTATGGAAACCTTATAAGCAAGAAAAACGAAATAATAATGAACGAAAAAAAAACAAATTTGTATATCACGAAAATGAATTAAACGAGGAAAGAATCCTGAATAACATTTGCACGCTTCACTTTAATGAATAGCACTTCACAGTCAGGCTTACACATAACCCACTCCTTTTATAATAATACTCATGTACAAAATTCTGTTGTACCTCTACGTCCTGTGGTTTATCGGTCATGTTATCGATCGTCCTAAAAGACTCTCCGTTCGGTGCCCCTCTCTCCCTCACTCTCTCTCTCTCATGTGCCAATACGTGGGGGTTGGTGGTTTATCCAACTCGGTGGAGGAATTTTTTTCACCACCAATTTCTTCAATATTGCATGCATTTTTCAGTTAATTTTACTGAAGAGTCCAATAACCGATGGGGGTCAATAATTTTGTGCTAATGGCAGGTATTCTCCGCAATATAATTCTCATTTTTTACGCTCCCAACGCATAAACTTTCCTGATAAATCCAGAGTGATATCATATTTCCATTTTTTTTTATTCACGAGTTGTTGATAGCAGGCTTCATAAAAAAATGTAAAAAAATTCAACGACAATGGGTCGCTCCTGCAGCAGAAAACGAAAAAAAAATGCGCTGTTGCAGAGCGGAATTTCTCAGACCAGCGTCACTACCACCACCATCCACAATTCCACCAACCGCACACGTACAAGCAAAAATTGACCTATCCCTGAATATCGCTTCACCACCACGGTGAGTCTGATTCTCTCATTCTATTTCACTGTTTTTATTCCATGCTCGTTTTACATGCCCTTTATCTAACGCTTGTCACAATCATATTCCTCACAAAAAGCTTTGGTCATTTTATTCTCACGCTTGAGGCTTCAATAGTTTATTTCTTCTAGTTCTAGTGTTGTTAGTGACAGAGGAAGAAAATTAGAAATGGCTCGTTGAAAATTCTGCTGGTGCATCGGAGTTTTGGAGTACGCTCTTATGTTGTTGCATGGGTGGGAGTTTATCTGGAATTTGCAGGGAATGGACTGCTGCGATGTTTGATTTAGGCAATGGAAATTGAATGAGATTTCACACTTTTGAATTTTTAATTGACAGATGAGTTTTCATCAATTGAATGGTTGAGAAATTTTCCCTGAATTTTCCGGGTTTTTAGCAATTTTCGTGGAATAATTCAAGGGAGATTTGTGGTTTTCATGGATTTTATTCATCATATCGGGAATTTCTTATTACGATATTCCTTGAAATTTCAAGAACAGTTGAAAATATCAGACATTTGACATAAAAGTCGACCAGACATTCGAACAAAAATCTGGTAACACGTCTTTTCAACTCCGATGCACCAACTGATTTCATTCAAATTATTGCATTTTCAGTAATTAGCCAAAAATTTTCTATTTTTATGCTGTTTTCTTTATTTAGCTTTTAGTAGATAATGCAATCCAAAGCAATTTAAAAACTTAACTGGCGCCTCAACAATTAATGCGATATCGAGACGATTTTTTCTTTCAGTTAACAATAGCAAAAAATCAATAATTTAATAACAATTTAATGTCGATTATTTCAATAGGATTTTTCAATTTAATTTTCAATTAACTTTCAAAATTAACTATTTTCTTACAATATTGCAATTACTGGTTGAACGTAAAATTTAATAAATAATGCAGAAAAACTACTATTACTGCTCTATTTAATAATTTGATGCACATATCAACGAAAATCACGAATTTGTACAGACGCTGATACTTTGTTTAACTGTTGACGTTTGAAGAAATTTCGGGATAAATTCTCTAAGAATATTTGTGCAGAAAAAAACAATTCCTGCACCAATTAATAACTTGCTCCGCATATCAATGAAAATCACAAATTTGTAAAGACCCTAATACTTTGTTTAACTGTTGACGTTTGAAGAAATTTCGGGATAAATTCTCCAAGAACACTAATCTGTGGTATATCGATTCAAGTTTCAGAACTGGAAACGTTATTAGTTGAAATATCTCCTAGTTGACAAGACATGAATTCAAAAATCTTCAACAGTGTTTCTTAAATTATGTCCATACTACTGCCAATAATAGAACGCGACACTTTGCATTTTAATATTCACATTCCGTTGCCTGCATGTCTCTCTTACGAGTCGAATAAAATGGACACTTGATATTTCCATACGAATATTCATAAAAAAACCTCCAATTGTATCACAAACTGAGAGTTATTCACCCAAAAAATAAAAAATAAAAAGTCTCCATTTTATGCATCTGTAATTGATCAGCGAGTCGTTAATTTTCACCCATAAATGAACGTTGATACGTGCAATAACATTCAAATGAACAGTGAGTTGATGTGAAAATGAGAGCATTTGGATCAATGTCGTGTGAAATGAGCCATCGATGCAGGGATTTTAATGAAATTATTTTATTTTTCAGCATGTGAAAACGGCTGGTACCTCCACGAGAGCAAGTGCCTAGCCGAATGTCCTCGGGGCACATACGGTGCTCGCAGCCAAGAGAAGAACGTTTGCGCCATGTGCCATTACTCGTGTATGACTTGCTACGGGCCTTCAGACGTCGAGTGTACATCCTGTCACGCCGATTCAACTCTTGTGTCAGTAAATCTGAAGGATTACCAATGTATAGTAAAGTCGTTGGAATGGACGACCCACTCAACAAAATGGTTCTACTTTACGACCATTCTACTTGGCCTCGTTCTCCTCATCGTCGCGAGTATCGGCATCTACTTGTACACAGTGTTTCACAGGCGAAATGGAACAGGGGGATATGAAAAAGTGTCGTTAGTCGGTAATGATGAACATAAACAGGACAAAGTAACACTGCAGCGAAACACCTGCGTGTCCGATAGTGATTAAATTGTTGATTGTCCAGTGAGTACTTGCAGATGATTAAACGAATTGCGATTTAATAATACAAGTATTGTGATTATAATTGATGAGTACTTGCGAATCAGGGGAGACTCGCGTCTCTGACTACTGCCAAATAGATGTTGATGTGTTGTAATTACTCAATAACTCGACTAGTCTTCGTTAGGTGGCGACCAATTTTTTTTACAAATCTTCCATATTTCAGAAAAATTTCTCTTACTGATGAACACTTCACTAGTGAATTTAAATAGTCTTTTGATATTCTGAAATAATTGAATGGTGAATATTGATGATATTTGTCTTGAATACCTTCGCAGAGAATTTTTATCGAGAGTTATTGAACGACTAAGCATTTGAGTCCCCAATATGATAGTATTTTCTCTGTAAAAGAGAAAGGTGATGTTGGTAGAATAAAAATGAAATAGATTCATTGATTAGTGAGTACATGATCAACAGAGTGAACAACACGCCTGGTCTGACTAAAGGGCCTTATTCCACTGACAATCCCATCCCGGGCCTACTCCACTGAACGACGAAGCATAGCACAAAGAGGACGTGGAAGATAGAGAAATCACCTAGTTCCACCGGACGAGCCCCTCCCCACTCCCTTCCTGCCGCATTTTCCTTTCATTCCAGACACAATTTCATCGAGCGATAAAAATCTCCCTTCAGAAACAACGAGTACTCTAATTACCTCCTTCTAGAACAATATTCCCGGCGCCGTTAAAGATGTTTAGCGAATAAATTATTGTCAATTATCATTGTCATTGGGATTGTTTATCGTTCCAATTGTCATGTGACCTTACAATGCAGCTCAAAATGTGATATAGCCACTGGAAACATATTTTTACAACATGTACCTCTAATTCTTGTTTGAATAAAATTGAATTTCTGAAAAATCCCTCCTCTTGCTTCTGATTTCTGGTGCGAATGGGCAAGTGCTGGTGAAATGATGATAATGGGGGCATGATCCGGGTGGTTCACCCTCAGTTTTCCCCAGATGGAGGCTGGGGGTGTTCTCGGACGCTGGTAATGCAGGTGCCAGCCTTACTCCCATCCCCGTTTCATCCCCTATTGATTTTTGGGCGGCGAGGGAATATGGCAGTCGGGGTGGATGCCTATCCGCCCAAGATGTACTGCTACTCGAAGATTCTCAGATTTTTACTCATTTCGGCTGTATTTTGCGTTGGTAAGCATTTCATCTGAATTTTAATCGGTCCAAATACCTCTGGGGAGGATTTTCAAGTGCTGCGATGGGGGCAATTTATCGTATTTCAGGATTGTGCTCTGAGGATGAGGAGAGACTGGTGCGAGATTTGTTTAGGGGGTATAATAAACTCATCAGGCCCGTCCAAAACATGACAGAGAAGGTTCATGTACGATTCGGTCTTGCATTCGTTCAGCTCATCAATGTAGTGAGTAATTTTTTGAATTTAAAACATTGGAAGTGAGAATATTTATGTTTGTTGGAGTAACAAATGTTGACGGAAGTTGACTGTAAACAATAGATTGTGTCAATATTAATTGTCAGTTGGTGGAATGGGTGGACATTGTTGGAATTCGGTAGATGAATTTGTTCACTGCAACAATTTATGAAGTTCAGGGATTTTTTTTAGAATTCGGTTCTTAATCTCTCACCAGAATGGAGAGCAATTTGCTGACTGAATAGGAAATGTTGGGGTGAATAAAACTAAATTCAGAAATAATACAATTCAATGATAAATACGATGAACCAAGTGGGACATTCCTCTTGTATTGCATATGGTATAGTTATTTTTGCTAATTTATTAGCAAAACTATATTATAACTACATTATTTGAAAATTTTCGAAAAATACAAAATTTTTGAGAATTTTCAAATAAATCAAAATAACGATTATTGCCATCGCCTTCATCTTCGAACTCGGTCAAAAGGACATCCAAACAAATTTGTTAAGCCATCATCCGATCAATTCAGAACATTTTTTTTTAGTTATCGTGGGACTACCGATTTTTCAAAAACTTCAAAAATTAAAAAAACTAATCGATGAATTAAATTTTAATTAATGGTGATCGATAGGGCTCAACAATACCTATATTTAAAAAAAAAGATTCAATTCTATCCATTCATTGGCGAACAATTGAATAAATTTTTTGGATCATACTGGGTCGACATAACACAAAAAATCCCAAAATTCAATTTGAACGATTACAAAGCTTCCATTCGGAAGCAAAAAAAGTTTATATTCACTGATACTTGAAGATCTGTGTTTAAGAATATTCTTCAGGCAACAAGCAGATTGCGTCAATATTAATTATCAATCATTGAAATAGTTTGATATTTACTTCAATTCAAAAGATGAATTTCATAGTTGTTGATATTCTAAAGATGATCTAGGCTGTCCTCAGTAATTGCGGTGCAGGTGAAATTACGAATAATTTCTTAAAGTTTAAACTATCCTAAAAAAATTGTTTTTAATAAAAAAAATGAAACGAAAATTAAAAAAGTGAAAATATAAAGAGAGGAATAGATAAGTTTATTAACTGCAACATTTTGTTGAATGTCAAAATGCAAATGCAAAACGTGATGAATAAAATTAACCCCATGAATAATGCAATTGAATAATACATATTATAAAATAAAACTTAACATGTAGAATTTTCAAAAGTATTTTGTTCCGTCACCAAACGATAAATAATATTCAAAAATCGCTAAATCCCAATTGCACTGCGAAATTCGTTCTATTCTCCCGCAAAAGATTCCCGAATTCAAATTAAAAAAAATTATGATTCCCAGAACGAAAAAAATCAGATAATGAAATCCAACGTGTGGCTGCGTTTCGTCTGGACCGATTACCAACTCCAGTGGGACGAGGCAGATTACGGTGGCATAGGAGTCCTCCGCCTGCCCCCCGACAAAGTTTGGAAGCCCGACATCGTCCTATTTAACAAGTAAGTTCCCCCCGTCAAGTTCAATCTCAACTCCAACCCGGAATATTTACAACTGGATTTCTTCCAATTCCCCTCTCCAAACAGCGCCGACGGTAACTACGAAGTTCGCTACAAGAGTAACGTGCTTATTTACCCGAATGGTGAAGTGCTCTGGGTGCCACCAGCTATTTACCAGAGCTCCTGTACCATCGACGTCACCTACTTCCCATTCGACCAGCAGACATGCATCATGAAGTTCGGCTCCTGGACATTCAACGGCGATCAGGTGTCACTGGCCCTCTACAACGACAAGAATTTCGTTGATCTCTCCGACTACTGGAAGAGCGGTACATGGGACATAATCAATGTTCCCGCTTACTTGAACACCTACCAGAACCCGGAGCTCCCCACAGAGACCGACATCACCTTTTACATAATAATCCGTCGCAAGACTCTGTTCTACACAGTCAACTTGATCCTTCCAACAGTGCTCATCTCCTTCCTCTGCGTCCTCGTCTTCTACCTCCCGGCCGAGGCAGGCGAGAAAGTCACCCTCGGCATCAGCATTCTCCTCTCCCTCGTCGTGTTCCTCCTCCTAGTGAGTAAAATCCTCCCCCCAACGTCCCTCGTGCTCCCCCTGATCGCCAAATACCTCCTCTTCACCTTCATCATGAACACAGTGAGCATCCTTGTGACAGTAGTTATCATCAACTGGAATTTCCGAGGACCAAGGACCCACCGGATGCCCCAGATAATCCGCAAAATATTCCTGAAAGTATTGCCAACAATTCTTCTGATGCGCAGACCAAAGAAAACCAGGCTGAGGTGGATGATGGAGATACCCAATGTTACACTGCCAGCGTCTACCTACTCCGGTAGTCCAACGGAATTACCCAAGCACCTGCCGGGCTCAATAGCTAAATCAAAAATGGAGATTATGGAGCTGTCTGATCTTCATCATCCCAATTGCAAGATCAATCGGAAGGTCCATCATACCACGAGTACGTCGAGTACTGCGGGTGGAGGGAATGAGGGGCTGGGGGATCGAAGGGGCTCGGAAAGTTCGGATTCGGTTCTGCTGAGTCCGGAGGCTACGAAAGCTACTGAAGCCGTGGAATTCATCGCTGAACACCTTAGAAATGAAGATCTTTATATTCAGGTGAGTCATGCGGGGAACACAGTTGGTATGAATTTTTTGTCCACACATTGGGAGGAAAAGTAGTTTGACACTCGTGGAAAAGTGTTTTTCGATTCGTGAGAGGATGGCACTGGCCTTCGGCGAGCGCTGCACACCTACCACCGGTTAAAATAGTATATTGTTTTGCTAGTGCGGGAAGTTCCACTTTTTCTTTCCCTTTTTTATCCATTGAAAAAACAACAGAAAAAAATACTTGGAAAGTTTGAGCCGATAAATTTCTGTAGAACAATCGAATTCTATTGATTTTTTCTCTCCATATTATGAAAATTCAAATCTACTTCTGGTGATGAGAAATTGGTACTCGAATTAAAGACTCTGAAATTAAGGGTCATGAGGGCCAGAATAAGGGTTATGAGGGCCAAAATAAGGGTCATGAGGGTCGGAATAACGGTCACGAAGAGCAGATCAAGGGTCTGATTAAGGGTCACAAAGGTGATGAGGGCTATAATAAGGGTCAAAAGGGTTAGAATAAGGGTCGCGAGGGTCAGATTAAAGGTCGCAAGGGTCAGGTTAAGGATCACAAGAGTCAGAGTAAGGGCCCAAATAAGGAACATGGGGGCTAAACCAAGGCTCAGAAAATAAGGGTTACCAGGGTCAAAATAAGGTTCACGAGGGTTATAATGAGCGTCAGATTAAGGATCCAAATGAGGGTCACAAGAGTCTGATTAAGGATCACAAAGGTTAGATTAAGGGTCCAAATAAGGATCATTGGAGTCAGAAACTAAGGGTCACAAGGGTCAAAACGAGGACCTCAATACCTCTCTATATTGTAAAAATCCAAATCGACTTGTGGTGATGAAAATTTGGTGCTCGAAATTAAGACTCCAATATTAAGGGTCGGAAATGAAGGGTCAAAATAAGGGCCATGTGGGGTATAATCAGGATCAGAATATTTTCCGTTGAACATCCTGATTAAACAAACGCACCGACAACTGGGGAATTTTCTACTTGAAGTTGTCTTTTGGATTTAATCAAACAGTTTATTAATCGATTTTTACAATTTCTAGACTCGAGAAGACTGGAAATACGTTGCCATGGTGATTGATCGTCTTCAGCTCTACTTATTCTTCATAGTGACAACAGCTGGCACAATTGGCATACTGATGGATGCACCGCACATTTTCGAATACGTCGATCAAGACCGTATTATTGAAATCTATCGTGGAAAGTAATCAGTGATAAGTCCATTCAAATCAACTCATTCGAAAAGAAAAACGACGAATTCATTGAGCTCAGTATCCTACTTCCGAATGTACAATTGATTTTTTTAAGTATTATATACGAACTATCAATTAATCAACTTAATTAACATCCAACGTCCATTACTGATTTTACAAGCAGGAGGAGATGCATGATTTAAATTTAAATCCTGTGACGTGTTCTCCCAGTTGAAAGAAGGACAAAATGTTTTGGAGCATCGATTGAGCATATTTGATAGAAATGATGAATATTAATGAAACGATAAACGTAGCTACATTATAATGGATATAAGTGGAGGACCTCGTAAAACAATCACGCGTAATTAATTTTCAATGGTAAATGAAAAATGTCCCGCTCTCCTTTTGACAGTTTCCGAAAAGTCTTCCTTACGAATAAATACAATAATTAGGAATTTACTAGTCAAATGTAAGGATAGCTCTCGAAGTGAAGTGTTTAGTACATTTTGTTACGATTGTTCTACCAGGTGCTGAACAATGTGTTATGTAATTACCCCAATTCGTATAATTACCATTGAGGGGATGATAACTCAAAAATCGAGTGGCACTATGGCTGCAAAGTGCAGTTTATTTCACCCAACGATTTCATTGATTTCGTGCATAATCCTCATTGATTTAATTGACTCTGTTTAACGAAAATTAATTATTACTGTAGAACATTTTACATTTTTCTGAGAATTGTTTTAGTATCATCAAAATCAAACAGGTGTTCTTCTTTTTTGAGTTTTTTGAGAAAATTTATTGCGAAGGTAAGATAATAGTTTATTTAGTATTAATTTGAAAGCAATTGACGAGATTTATTGTGCCACCTTCATTTCCGGAGTTATCAGCCCCTCGATTACCATGTGATTGTCAGTCGAAATTTAGCTGATACATAGGTGTAATCAGGGTAATGCTCAATATTGAAATTAAAGGATGATAAAACACAATCTTCTAGATCAGATTCAATTGTAAAGACATAATCTACATTAACAAACTAATTGATTCACTCATTAAATCCCTGAGATGAGGTTCATTGCGTCGTAGGGAAATCGTTCATTGCTTGTTAGAGTCCAATGTTTGTAACTCAATTTCGTTATTCAGTAAATTAATCTAATCTACCCCCTGCTAATGTGGCTTTTCTGGACGAACGGGGGTTTAGGAAATGCGATACATTGACGCCTATTTAGTCCCATCGTATGCGTAAGTGAACTGCCTTTCGATCCATTACGTGACCATGTATCTCTTTAAATTGATCAATCGTTTTTTCTAGTCATAATCCGAGGAGGTTTGTGAATAAGCATGCCATGTCTTTAATAAACTCATTATGGAAAATTTTATGGAGTGATTGAATTCATTTTCTTACCTTTTGTATCCTTGATGTCGGAACAGCTGGGAGTCATGAAACCTATCGATAATTTCGTATGTATTCGGACACTTCAACTATGAAAATTCTAAATCTAGAATCTAAACTTGTAGAATAATACGAGGGAACATAACATTGTTGTTATCTGCGTTGGGATTAAAGAAATGATCACAGCGAGGGTCATTTTCATTTTGTTTATTAGAACGATTTCATAATACGTAACAATGTTTTAGGATAATAGAAAATAAATGGTGGAGGCCTGTTGTACTCAGCCTCTTGTATCATCATCAAATTATTATGATGCTTTTTTTCAACGATAATTTTTTCATTTGTTGATTATTCATTCGCTTGATAAGAAATATTTGGAAGAGTTCGAAGTAGTTTATATTTGACAGTGAGAGTCCAAGGCGATAGTGGGGCCACAGCAATGTGTTGTGTTCATTGGTTAATGAATAGAGTAAAATTTGGAAACTTGTGAATCGAAATATGAAGAATGAACATGATGATGATTTTTTGATGATCCTGAAATGTTTTTTTATGATTCTTATTAAAAACATCAAATAGTAAAATAGAATGAATCAGATGGAGATAGAAGACTATCTTCATTCATTTATTTCCTTTCCATTCTCTTTTCAATTAATTTATTTAAAAAATTTGAGAGGTAAATAGAGGAATCGAAAATTTGTAGAATAATAGAAGAGAATATAACATTGTTGTTATTTACGTTGGGATTAAAGAAATGATCACAGCGAGAGTCATTTTCATTCAGTTTATTAGAACAATTTCATTAATTGTAAAAAATATTTTAGGATATTAGAAAATGAATGGTGACGTTCTGTTGTACTCAGCCTCTTGCATTATGATCCTATTATCAGGATGATTGTCTTAAACGATAATTTCTTCATTCGTTTCAATTTCAAGCAGTTGATATTTGAAATTGAGAGTCAGAAGAAACAGTTGTCTCACAGGAATGCGTTGGCAGAACCTATGAATACAATAAAATTTGGAAACTTATGAAAATAAATATAAAAAATGTACGTGAGGATGATTTCTTGACAATCCTGAAATGTTTTTTGATGATCCTGTCCAAAAACATGAAACACTAAAATAAAATAAATCAGGAACAGACAGAAGCCAGATTATTTTCAATTAATTTATTTCTAGAATTTGAGAGGAAAACAGAGGAATCGAAAACTTGTAGAGTAATACAAGGGAATATAATATTGTTGTTGTTTACGTTGCGATTAAAAAAATTATGAAAGTGGGATTCATTTCCATTTTATTTATTAGAACAAATTCATAATAATACATGACCATTTTTAGGATATTAAAAAATGAATGATGGAGTTCTGTTGTGTTCAGCTTCTTGTATCCTCATCCCATGTTCCTGATGTTTGTCTTCAACAATAAGAGGAATGTGCGGCCAAAACCAATAAATAATATAAAATTTGGAAACTTGTGAAAATAAATATGAAAAATGAATGTGATCATGATTTTTTGCCAATTCAAAAATGTTTTTTGATGATCTCGCCCAAAAACATGAAACAGTAAAATAAATCAAAAACAGATAGAATTCTATTATTTTTATTTAAGTTATTTCAATGATTTCAATAATTTGAAATGAAATGGTAGATTCCTATTATACCCAGCCTCTTGCAGCCTCACCCCATTATTATGTTTGCCTTCAACAATAATTTTCTCATTTGTTGATTCTTCATTAGTTTCACAATAAATACTTACAAAAATTTCAGGGAATTTATTGGGAACTGGTGGATGAGCGGAGCTTACGGCTTTGAGATAGTACTTTACATGTAAGTTTACGGGATGAATTTCACTTGATACGACTTGAATGAAATAGATCTCATTTTGAAGCTAAAAAAACAGTCTGAGAATGATTTATAATTTTTTGAATTTCACTCTGTCAACCGCGAGTTATTGACTTTTGAAGACGGCTCACTTCGCGCGGGAGACGTCTGCTATCTTAGAATGATTCCTTTTCTCACCACCAGATGTCACATGGCGATCCACCAGTTCCCAATATTGAACTTTGGAACCAATGAATAGAGTAAAATTTGTAAACTTATGAAAAGAAATATGAAAAATGAACGTGATTATAATTTTTTGACAATCCTGAAATATTTTCTGACAATTCCTTCTAAAAGCATGAAACATTAAAATAAAATAAATCAGGAGCAAATGGAAGACATTTATTTTCATCTCATTTATTTCAACAATTTCATAATAACGTAATAATGTTTTATAATATTACAATGTGGCGATTACGTATTCACCAGTTAACAGGGATTCTCATTTATCAATCAACGTTGCCTCGTGTAACAGCCCAGTAGGAATATAACAAATTTTATTTATTCATTAATCTTCAATATGAATTTACTATTCTTCATTTTAAATTAAATTTATCATTTTTTTAATTTATCCATTTATTTTAAAACCAGGCTGTTAGTGAGGCATTAATGAAAAGTATCAAGTGAGTCATTTCCCAACATCGTCTCACCAGCATTATTATCTCGAGGGAAATAATTTTCCAATCTCAACTGTCAATAACGCCCACGATTTACCATTTGTCGTTTCATTAGTTCACACTGTTGTTTCATCCGAGTAAATTCATTGAAAATATTATTTCATTGTCACAGTAGTAGTTCAACCCGATGGCTGGTGGGACAGTGTCCAAAGAATCTATCCTATCCTCAAAGTTATCTAAGGAGTAAGAAGAAGAGTTAGATCCTCATAATTATTATTTTTTTTTTCATTATCATTTCGTTTTCCTCATTGCAGCAGCATTTTTAAGATGTGTGGGCAAGTTTTAGATATCTTTTTCTTTTTTTTTAAGGTAATAGTTTAGAGAGAGAGTGTGATCTCGATAAAGTTTGATCCTAATTCCTAAGAAAACTACCTGAACCATCCCTATGGATACTGTCACAGTATTACTACGTTCCTATTGATTACAAGCTAGCCCTCATTGTTTGTTTTATATTCAGTAATTGATTATTCATGTCATTTGTGTTTTTTATTCATACGAATATGATTTTAGCATTCAATAGTTTAAATATGTATAGAATATGTTTAATGGTATATGTTTTTCAATAGTTCGTTTGACTTTGGAGCGCTGTCGTCGGTTTTTATATTCGAAAATTATTGTTCTGCGAGATTACTTCATCTTTCGGGAGAATAATCGAAGAATAAAGGGAATTTGCGTGAGTGAGATAGCGTGAATATTTTTTTTTTCATAAAAATTCGGGAAACGAGAGTCACCTATTTTTTAATGTTTTTTTTTTCCACTGGAGTTTCAATTATGCTACATTATCTGATCTACCGTTATTATTTTCTCTTTTTCTGTAAAAACTGCCTGGATTTATAACTACAACCGTTATTTGTATTTATCATTTTTTTTTTCAATTATTTGTTTTGCTTTATTTTGCGAGTCGTGTAAAAGTTATAATTAAGCACTCGATACAGTAGCTAAATAGCCATTCGGATTTGTTCTTCGCAAAAGAAGAAAACTCCCATTATGATTAAATTTAATCGAATATGTATATACATATGCAGTGTAATATAGACATATATGTATATACATACGTTATTTATCGGAGATTAGGTGGAAAGTAATTCATCTAGGGGAGTGGCGAGTAATAAGTCGTGACTTTTTTCCCAGTATTCATTTTTAATAATAAGTTTTCTTTATTATTATTTATTATTCAACTCTTTATCGACGATTTTTTTTTCATCATTCTCTAATTGCCCGGAAGATTGACGATCCGTGGTCACAATGAGAAAATACTTTCTCGATTATATTACGCAAGCTCCTAAACAATTTTGAATATTTTCTCTTAAATTCTCCTGGAGTTTTTCTCTTCACTTTGACGGGAACAACATCATTCAACTGTATTTTTTTTT